AGTAATAGAATAGGAGCTTTGTGCATTTTGCTGTTAGCAGCTATTGTTTAAGTTGAGTGGAGACTGTAGCAGGCAGGGTTTTTTTTTTTCCTCTGTGAGGCACTCCAGTCATGTCAGTGGATGATGAATACTTATGAAATGATCACATAGCAAAGGTGGTACATTCTGAGCAGCCGTTTGCAAACTCTTTCTAGACAAATTCATTACCTTAGTCCTAGTTCACGTCTTGGGTTTGTGTAATTTAAGGTTAAGCTATAGTTTGTATATGAAAGCACTTGGAAAGATATTCATCAGATCTCTTTGTAGTCAAATGCCCTTGTTCTCACCAGAGTTGACCAAGTGTGTCCTTTTTCCCTTGACAGCACACTGAACAAATCATTCCTATTTGCTAGTTGGTCTGCAGGTTTTTGAGAGAAAATGTCTCTAGTCTTTGGGTGAAATTCATGTAACAGACAGCTGTACTGCAAGCACAGAATCTGCTTGCTGCATCTTCAGATGCCCTAGAGCTGTGTAATCAGACGACTTCAGCAGCCACGTTGTCATCCTGCCTGTTTGGATGCGGCTGTAACCAGAGTGAGCAAGCCTATAGAAACTTGGCATTGGGAGGCTTTTGCCTCTCTTACTGTATTTGGCGTGATTTGTAATCAGATGTAACCTGACAGCTACAGCTTGATGAGCTGACAATGTACTTCACTTGCAAAATTTATGTGCTAAGAATGAAAACTCATTTTATTTAAGCTGTGTTGTTTTTATGCACAGGAGGACCTTTTTGTTGTTTTTGTTTTGTTTTTCCCTGTGGATCTGCTAGTAAAAGTCTGAGGAGATCTTGAGGTTTCTATAAGTGTGACTGCTATTTTTCAAGCCTCTAAGAAAGTCAGACTTCCCCCAGTCACGCTAATTTATTTGGACATTCAGATACAAAGCACAGGCTGAAAGAAGTTCTCTTATTATTTGCTCCCTGAAGCATGCGTGCCCCATTTTCTGGCCATTAGGGTGTTTCATAAGCTCTTATTGTTTACCATATTGGTAGAAAATAGAAGAAGATTAAAGAAAAAATGGGGGGGGGGAGGGGGAGTAAAAGATCCCATCGGAAAGTCAAAGATTTTCTTTTCCTTTGTTGAACTTTTGAATAAGTGCACGCACATCTAATACACCCATTTCTGCTACTAAGACTGCATGAAATCTGATTGCCTTTAACACTTTGAATGCTTGGACTGCTAAACCAAAGGGTTACCTCTTTGCTGGAGGATGCTTCTGCTGTACATTCTTACACCAAGTGAAGCACTTGTTTGCTCAGCCTGTCTTACTCAGCATGATGTAACATCATGCTGTTAAATGCAGTTGTCTGAATTACCACTTGTGATTCTGATACTGTGATCAGCCCCAGGAAGATCAAGCCAGCAGAATGCTTGTCTAAAGAAGTCTTTCTATAGCCTATGGTTAGGTAATACTGCCCTTCACATACAGGGATCCTTCATCATCTTCATTTCCCCAGGAGCTGGCTTCTGACACAGCATTTTGTATTCTACTAATATTTACAGAAAGTGTGAGGCACTATCAGTTTTCAGATCAAACTGTTCTTGTTCCCTTGCATTCTTGCAGTACCATCAAGAGATGATCCCAGAAGAACTGGAGGATTTTGTCCTCCTGATGTAGTATCACAGAGCACCTCCATTTCAGGATGTCATGCTGGATTGCCTGCTGACTGAACCTCCCCTCTGACAGGGCTCTTCTTCACTCTGTGAGGCTGAAAGGTGCTACGTGCTCTTTACTCAGTCAATTCCTGTTGCATCTAGTCATTTTCACTCATTTTACATAAGTGAAATTCTTCCCAAGAATGTTAGAGCAGTGACAAAGGAGATGTGAGAGTCCTCATATATACTCTGTATCTAGCATATGAACGTAGGAGGTGGGTGTTTAGTGTCACTTGCCATTTCCCTGCTTCTCCAGAAAATCCTGTGTGGGTTTCCATAGGGATTCAAAGTCCATGTAGTTATCAGTAGGAGGCAAGAAACAAGTATTTGGACTGCACTGTTCTTCAAATTAGAGGAAAGCAGAATAAGGTAACAGAATTTGTGCCTGTGTTAATACAAGCTTTCTTTCTGTTGTGGTGATTTTTTTTTTTCTTTTTTTTTTTTTTTTTTTCCCTGTGGAAGTCACTACTTAAGATCACTCTAAATATAACTGTGTACACACTTGTACTTATGAGAGCCTTTCCTGCATTGGATCCTTCAGAACTACATCTGCCACTCATTGTTTCTCTTCCTCTATCTAAAAGCGTGAGCCTTGCTGCCAGGAACTTTCCCAAGAAAATTGGAGGGTTGAATACACTGGAATGGCTTTCCCTCTGTTTGTGTTCTGCATTGAATTAATATTTTCTAGCTATGCGTACATTTGTTTATATGCTATTCCTAGAACTCATTAAATAAGTGAAATAGTGTTATTTTATATAATTTAAGGTCCCGTCCTAACAGTCTTTCTTAGGTCTGTATTTCTATGACATCTCTAATTTAAAAAAGAAAAAAAAATCCTAGTTTTTACTCTTCTTCTCTGGTTTATCTGCCATTTTAGCTGTATTTCATAGTATGTTTCATTCTCTTCCTATCCTATATCACGCTCACTGTACTTAACCTCACCAGTTATTAATCTGATTTGAGTTATTGTTTCAGTGGATGCACATTATACAGACTGAGCAATATTTTTTTAATGTCAAATCAGATTTCAGAAACAGTCGTGTTGTTGAAAACACTGAGCAGAAAACTACATCCATTAAACTGCATTCTTTATCAAATGAAACTATGAACTGCTATTCATTGAAAAGTATAAAGTGATGTGTTGTTTTAAAAAAAAAAAAAACTAAAGAAAACCAAAGTAAAACATTTACTTTCATTATTTTTAGCTTTATTATTATAATAGAATTACAGTCTGACATAAAATAAAGAGCTTTTGCTAAACTCTGTAAAGCAATACATGCTTCTGCCATAAACAACCTCTATTAGATTTAGGTTTTATTGCCACATCACTGCACTGAGGTGCAATAAACATTCAATGTCATCTTTTTAAAATTATCCCGGGAGTAAACAAACTGTCCTCTATAAGAGTGTATCATTATTTTCAAGGAAGACTTACTATTATTACATGGTTTAGCAAAGCACTGTAAAAAAGCTACATAGAGAATACCTTGTCTTTGATAAACTCTGCAATCAAGTTTGTACAGTATAATACTATTGGCATAGACTAACAAACTAAGAGGTGATATAATGCAGTCATTGCATAGCAAAAAGCAGACTAGTTAAGTAATAGTCACATCTAATGTGCAAAATGCAGACCAAAAGGTAGCTATGAATTACTAGGATAAAATGTCCTAAATGAACACGCTAGTTAAATGCCAAAAATAACAAGATAAACAAGTACACTGAAGTTAAAGAGCCATAGTTTATTTTTTTTCTATACATATATCTACACATGATGTCAGAAGATGAAAACATCCCCCTTTAATAAGCTCCAATCAGATAACTTACCAAGTTTAGACAGGACTAGATGTTAGACAATGAAGCATTATTAAAAAAAAAGAAAAAAAAAGAAAAAACAACTAAATAGAACATATAAAACATTAACTGCTTCCTTTTGTAGATAGAGAGCATCAACCTTCCGACTTGCTGAGGCTTATAAAACGTTGCCTGAAATATGACTGTGAAATTTAATTTTGATTAGCTGTTTCTCTAGAGACTTATGTAGCATTTCTTCAAAATTGACAGTACAGTGTGCTGTAGTTTTTTAATTGATCCTTGCCAACACTCACCATTATTCCCGTCTCTTTGAAAAAGATTTATCTGAAATTTTATTTCTAACAATCAGCAATAGTGATACTGACTAGAATTGTTTTTAAGGGAGCACAATACCTGCAAAATGGACATCTTGTATTTAAAGCCCTTACGTATTGTTCCTACAAATATATTGCTACAGTAAAAATGAAATGTTATAAGTTTACTCAATAAAATCTATTTTCCTGTACATTCTTTTCTGTATGACTTTTTTGTATTTAATGCTACATATATTACATCACTTATTGTAACAGTTGTGTATCGGCAAATATAGCAGTAATATACAGATGAACTTCTGTCTTAGCAAATATTTCACCATTTCTACCTACCAAATATAATCCCATACTTCAGTATTTATGCATGACCTGAGCAGACCAGTCATTAATCTAATAGTAAACATTGGATGACATTGTCAAATTGCAAGTTACTGTACACTTAACCACTTTACAAATGGAATTAATTCCAAGCACTTCCTATCTATTTTTTAGACTTTCCAATGCCAGTGATTTTTATCTAGGCTCTAAATATGTTTTATTGAGCGTTTAACAACATATTAAGAGCTAAGAGGTGACGTCTAAACAATGTTTTAAGAACAAAACTTTTAAAAAGTTTTTTAAAAAAAGAAAAAGAAAATAAGAAAAATGTACAATCTCATGCTGCATATTTACATATATTATTTAAATACTATATTTTGTCTTTCTGCTATCCATAAATTTCATCCTAAAGCTTTCTTTAATGTATCATTTTATAAAAGAATACATTCAACATATCTAGAGCTTGCAAAATTTGTTTTGGTTTTTTTTTTTTTTTTAACTCTATAACAGTGATGAGTAAAAGCTATCTGTAAAAGCATCTGGGATTTGTTTGGATTACACAGGAGAAAGAGGGACTTGGGATCTGCACTTGATTGTGCAACTGGTTTGAAACCTAGTCTAGTAACAACTTAATGCTTAGAACAAGACTGCAGTAAGAGAGCAGATTAAAGCATTTTTCACCATTAGATCTTACGTGCTATACAGTGATGAACTGTATCTACAGTGAGTAATTTTTCTTTAACAATCATTTAATATTTTAAGTTAGGTCATTTGGAATATAGAAGGGAAAAAGGAATAGGAAAATAACTTATGGGATCCAGCAAATGGAAAGCTTTAAATCCTTGAAAAGATTATAAACAGTGACTGAAAAAGTGGTGCAGTGTAGTATGTGCAACATGGACATCAAAAAGAATATTTTCCTGCTCCTCACAATCCATTGAATAAAAATATCTTTTTCATGTACATATACAATACATCTTGGGGACATTCAGTATTAAGCTATCTACAAATGCTTGCCTTTTTTTTTTTTTTTTTTTTCCCCATTACTAGAACTTTCTTTCCCTTTTTAAGAATCAGTTTCCCAAAGTTACATAGCTTATATTGTTCTCTCCCTTGTATATAGGGTTCTTAAATATACAGATATATTTTACTTCTGGTTAAATGAAGAAACCTTTATGATATTCCAAATGGGAATTACTGTATGTGAAAACTGGAAGCAATTCCCAGAGCAAAAGACAAAACAGAGCTAGATGAATAAATGAGGTTATTGATGTGGAGTCGGGGCTTTTAACTGAGGCTCCCGGTTTAAATAGGTAGCCCAATAGACTAAATTAAAGATTCCAAAAAGCAGTGGGAAAGCTATTCTTGATAGTCGATCAATTTTGCTGACGCTGTTAAAAGTTTTCTTGGGTTCTGCAGGCTTTGTTTCTGGCTTAACTTCTTTGGGCTCTATCGTTGCACTTTTAGCAATGGTTGCCAGCCCAGGGTCCCTTGCAATATTAGGGGTGTAGCTTGTAGCTGCAGCTGTGTACGTGTTATTTTTCTTAATGAGAGGATCCTTCACCTTCTTTGGCTAAAGAAAGAAGAAAATATTTTATTCCTATTGGCTTCTCAATAGATAACATACTAAAAAAAGCACAATCAAATTTTGCTGCAAGTTAACTTTATTTCACAAGTTGTGATAACCTGTAAGTATGAAGGTAATGTTGGGGTACACGACTCATGCAAAATACTTAGATGAAGACGGGCAGAATCACTCATCTAGATTATTTGTATCACTTAAACTGAAGTATATGATGGATAGTGAAGACTTACCCTGGTAGCTAGGCTCACTGTTAGACAAAATTATCTTTAATGGTAATGAGCAGTGATGAACCATTCATAACTCAACGTTCCCTTAATCAACTCTGCCACTTGACCAGCATAAGAACCTTAAAAGATACTGAATTTCTTAATGTAATTTTCCAATATTAAGACAAACTGTTTTTATGATTCATTCTAACAAAATTCTTACATTAAAAATATACAATAAAAATATGTAACCGTGACACAAAGAAGTGGATTATTTGGAAACACACCAAACCAATCATTTTTATACTAAGGATATACACCAGAAGCATATGAATTAAAGAGAGAAATTTTCAGTTCCTACTTGAATGTTGCAATTGGATTGTAATGGCTGAAATTACATTCTGAAGAAAGGGTCTTAAGCAGCCACATGATTTTTGCAGCCACTCATGTTGTAAAGCAAGTCTATACTGAATGTTTTTCAGGGGGAGGTGTAAAGAAAAACTACTTATCAGGAAACAAAAAGAGATAACAATGCCAACAGCTTGGAAAATCATTAGGATTCCACCATAGTATTTGCTGAGGGGGGAAGAAAAGGGAATGTTGACCACGTTGTCCTCTAGAAGGAAGACGATAATACAGATCAAGAAAAAATAGTAGGAGTGGTTTTATTGCATCATTTCACAGAATAACAAATAGAACTATCTGTTAGCAAGATGCACCTGTCCCAGAGAGGAAATACTTTTTAAGATAGTTACAGTGCTATTTGTCATAGATTGACTATAGTTTAATAGCTAAATGGGCAAGGCCCTGCGGAGGCAGGGCGGCTTTAGTTTATAAGTAAAAAATTAAGGAGGTGAACACAAAGGTTCCTGAAGGACACCTGAGAATGTGCAGGAAAGCTGCAAAAGCATGAGGGTACGTGGGAAGAAGCGTGTTGAAGCATGACACTGAGCCCCAATCAGGAAGGAAACATGTATTGACGAAACGTTAAATTGGTTCCTTCATAGGAAAGGGATTTGGATAGTGCCTGTGGTGCAGATGCTCTTTGTTTCAAGACAATAATATTCACCGTAGCTTGAGGCTCAGGAAAAGCTTCAAAACATCTTAGAATATCTCTGCTGAGTAAGACAAACAACTGGAAAAAAAAATACTCAGAAAAGAAAAAAGATGAAGTCAGAAGGCTTTCTGGTTGCCTGTCTTTTCTCTCCTCCTGAGCAGGAGGGCTGCTGATGTGCTTGGTATGAAGCCTGTACTGTTTCCCCATCGGCAAGATGTGCTAATGAGCAGCTCTAAATCCAGCAGGTCGAAGAACCAGATTGCAGAAGTGTCAGGGGACACTCGGCCTACAGATACAAATTTCATGAGGAATCTGATCCACAGGAAGCCCTGACACCAATCAGGGGCCTGACACTTTATGTCAAATTTGAATTAATGAAAACATAACAGCCAACAGGAGCCCTAAACTTTATTAATCTGTGATGCTTTGTTCGCTGTTAGCTTGCTTTGCTTGGTTTAATGTCTGCAGATAACACGCTTTACTGGGTAGTGGCATATCTTTGTTACCCTATAACGAAGGCAAGAATGAAGACGCTTACCTGCTAGTGAATGTAAAATCGTACATCCTCCAATGTTACAGACAGCATTTGAATATTGTGCTTTACTGCTCTGGTTTGTCTTTTTTTTTTCTTTTTTTTTTCTTATTTCGTATGAAAATTTAATTTTCTTTGAAATAAATAGCTGGTTATAGTTACTTATGTTAGTAGGTAGATAGTATTAAAATAGGAATAGTTAATATTTAATATTTTCTATTAAAATAACTCGTTCTTTAAAAAATAGCTGTAATGTGGATAAAAGCACAGAGAAACAGAAAAGAATGACTTTCAATGGAGGTATTATCAGTAACTGAAAATATTGACCAGCAGTAACACCACTCAAATCTGTAAGTTAATTGCTTCATTTTGTTCTATGATGCTTTTATGGTTGGTTGTCACTGTGTAAATGTTCAGAGTTTATTTCTATTTTATTACTGAATGACTTGCACAACAAAAATAGAAAAAACAGTACAACAAAGAATATTTATATATCCTATCTGTACATTCCTGAGTTAAACACATATATTCGCATACCAATGAGTAACATCTGCTCCTCCAAATATTTATTCTGCTGATTCTCTAATCTGTGAATGTTCATAAGCAATTAGGCGATAAGCAATTAGGCAAGTTAAAAGTCTCTTTCAAGATCTCGTAAAAAATAACCAAAATGAGCTTCCTCACAAAAGGAGCTCACATGATATTTCATAGGAAATAGGAAACTCATTCCCTGTACATCCGCAACAATTTGTTGATGCATATGTGACTTACAGACGGTCTGATCCCTACAAGGAGACAAACTGATGTCCTCCTTTGCCCTGAGGGAGATGTGGATCAGGGTTACTGACTCCTGAAACAACCTAATTTCATATATAGGCTAAGAATTAAAAATAACAATATTTTTAAAAAACAGGGAAATGATAGTAGGCAAAGGCAAGAAAAAGCCCTGCGTTGATTGATTGATCGATCATTATCATTGGCAATCCTCTTTAAGTTGAGGAGCAATGTACTCTGGAAGCTCAAACACAGCAGCCACAAGATTTTCCTCCACATATATACTAAGGCATGGACACTTTACCTTGCTCCAGCCCTACAGAATGAATTGGCTTCCCTCAAAAAAACAAACAATCAAACAAATTATATTAAAAAAACCGTGTGACATAATGTGAATTGTAGGAGTAGATATTAAGTGGCGTTACCTTTTCAGGAACAACACTTTTGCCATCCCATGCGTAACCTCTCTTTGTGAAGTAATTCACTGTTGCAAATTCGATGAGTGCAGAAAACACAAAGGCGTAGCACACAGCTATAAACCAATCCATGGCAGTGGCATAAGCCACCTTAGGGAGTGAATTCCTTGCACTGATACTCAGCGTGGTCATTGTTAGGACAGTTGTCACTCCTGCAAAACAAACAGGTTTTGTCCTCGTATCAGCGGTTTTATTTTTGCACTTCAATTCTCAACTACTACGATAGATAGGAAACCCACATCTGCACCCATCATTCTTATGGACCTCTCCACTTAAATTCAGTTGCTATCTCAGGATATCAGGTTTCCAATTCTGTAGAAGTTGTGGGATCTTTGAAACATCAGTTTTATACTTTTTTTTCAAGTTGTTTTAGTACAATAGTAATTTTTAAATGGGGATGTAAATTATTTTTTAAATTTTGGACTGGATAATACTTAAAGCTTCATGGAGCATAAGGTATCGTCATTGCTCTTTCTTACCCAAACTGTGTAAATTGCCCTAAAAATACATCGACTCACACGTGTACTTCTCCTGGTAGTTTTAATATATTTAAACATAAAACTTAAAAGCTTATCGGTTTTGTGTTTCTTAGCCTGGTTATTGTTAATACTAAAATTGTTTATGAAGTATATGTTCCTTCATAGATAAATTCTCTAAGCTTTATGTAGCATTAAATTTATTTAAATTCATATTATTGCAGATGTTCCCTGATGCTCCAAAAATAGCACAGAATTTACTTAAGAACAATAAGAATGTTATCTGCATCTGTGATATCAGAGCTCCCATAGCTGATGACACTTGAGCTCCCCGTGGAGCTTTCACTGGCGGTGGTAGGGCTGTACTGAACTCACTCTGCAAAATCTGCAAGCGTAGGCTGGACATTTACATCAAATCATGTGTCCACAAGCTACCTTGACAATTGCAGTATCCTGTATTGAATGTTTTTTGCAAGTTCATCTTTGCTGCACTGAATGTTAGTGAGAATGTGCAGTGGTTTAAAACAGGCCAAATAATGAACAGTGTATTTACATACTAGTGTAAAGAGCTTGAAATTTTAGTGCCTACTGAAGAAGCAATTTCCCATCCCTGAGAGACAACCTAATCTCATATCTGACTCAGTATTAGCAAGCTTATGTTTCTCTTGTGCAAAGCAGGATTTATAATTTATATTATCTGTGATTGTAAGTGGGCTAAAAGATGTAAGATGTGCTTTTGTATGCATTTGTTCATGCGAGATATCCTGAGATGTTTTTTTACTGCCATTAGGAAGTGGAAAAATCACGTATCTTGATATGTAATGATGGAGTAAACACAACACTGTTTACTAAATAACTGTCTTCTAAAAGGAGAACTTGCAAAAGTACATGGGTTCTTGAGCTCTCAAGATAGCAGCTGGAGATCATGGAGTATTATGTATTATTCACTGTAAGACTAGGAAATGTTGTCCTCTATCTAGGGACAGTGAAGTATGGCACTGCAAAATGCTGAACTGACATTTCCTTTTAAATGGCATGTGCAAAGAGAGATAAAATAGATACAACTTCAGTAGTTTTGAGTACACAGGCTCATAAAAGTCCCAGATCAATTCTCAGTGCAGTTGGTGATAAAACTTCTGAAGTAATTTTAGACATTAATCTAAATCACATTATGTAAATAAAATGTAATTATCTTGTGCTTTAACCGTTCTTCTGTAAATGCACATCCATATATCTACAAAAAGTCTTTACTTGGTTCATGAGGTCTAAGGTTATGCAAGCTGTGAATTACTTCCAGAGCCTTTGGGAAGCAAAAGTATATCTATGAAATGTGCCTGAGAAAGGTCAATAAAAACAGCTTTTGATCAACAAGAGTTTCAGTGTCTGCATGTTTCTCAACATCAGGCCTTGTAACTCTCTCCAGCTGCACACTGGGAAAATTCCCTCATGCAGAGCAGGAGGGCCCACGGCATCCTTCTGCCCTAAGACAGCCAGCTTGGCTTTGTGCTCTTCTGCATCCTCCCGTCAAATGTGCTCAGGTGTCCCATCCATACATCACAAAAAAGACTAAGTCACATCATAGAAATATCAGGTTCTATTTTCCTTTAAAGGTACGTTACTTCTTTTTTTCTTCTTCTTTTTTTCACAAAGTACTTGCCTTGGATTCTTCAGAGATTATGCTAGTTGTTTGTTTCTAATTTTAAAATAAGTGTTTGCCAGCAGTGGTTAAAGCACTGGGGACGAACTGTATAAAGTTAGAGTCCTTCAGATTCCCTTGTTACTGCGTTCATTGAGTGCATCTATTCACTGCTGTAAGCACAATAAATCATCGCTGATTTTAACAGGAGATGTTTAGTAGCATCCTACTAAGGGGATTTTTTAGCTAAAGATGTTCAAAGAGGCTGAGGTTGTCAAGGACATCAAGTGACAAATACCATTAATTAAAACTTTCTGACAGTCCCCACCATGGATATCATGGATGTCACATGTCATCATCAGAAATGTTTCATTCATATATATGCTGTTTTGGAAAAGATTGTTCAAGATATTTTCAGGTCCAATTTTACTCTTAATTTAAAAGGTTTGGAACTTGTATAGTTTTCTGGTGCATTTTCACAACAAAACATTATCTCTTGAGCCTGTACTAGTGCAGTAGACGTGCTCTTCTCCAATATCACTCTGCGCATATCACTTTTACCATAGAAATTCTTACATTTATTTGGCGTGTCATTGCCAAGGAGTTTATAAGTCTTTCTTACCAAATACAGTTCTTGCTGGAACAGATTCTCTGTTGAGCCAGAAGGACACCTGTGACAGTATCACTGTCATGATGCATGGCAGATAAGTCTGAATGACAAAGTAACCAATCTTTCTCTTCAAGTGAAAATGTGTTGTCATAACAACATATTCCCCTAAAAATAAATTAAAATAAAATTAAAAAACAACAACAACAAAAAACTGTAAAGATTTTATAAATACAAAAATCTGGAGACTTTAAATGAAGTCACTTTTCATTATATGTACAACTCTGATTAAGCAAAAAAAAAAAAAAAAAAAAAAAAAAACCTCAAATTATACTGGGTCAGTTCCGAAGAAAACGTTTAAAGCAAATTCTGAAGTTCCCCTAATAATAACAGAATTAGACAGTTCTAGGAAACACTAATTAAATTTGCATCTTTTCATCTCCAGTGAGTAGTGAATGAACGTCTGCATTAATTGGAGGCTGTTTAGGCCTCTTGTGAAAGATTTCATTCCATTAGAAGCTGGAAAACTGCTGTAATATGCACATGGAAACATCATCCAAAGACGAAGTGATGACAGCAAGTCAGAAATGTTTCAAGCTTAAACTGTAATTTTTGATGTGGTTATGTTTCTATTATCAATGTGTGTGCTTTATCTACTCTGAATATTAAGCACCCCTACCCTACTAAATTCAGTACCTTACTAAATTAATATTCTCTTGCCTAGTAAATGGCCAGTGCAGGAATAGTATAGAATATTTTCATTACTGTTAGCGTTTAGTGCTAGAAAAACATATGATTTGTGTATTCCAGTTACATACAAAAGGCATTGTTAGCATTTATGTAACTCTACAATTCTTTCTTTCCAGACGGTAGCAAATAATGCCTTATTTTCGGACTATTATTTACAACATCATTGAAAACATATTTTGAAGAAAAGTATATTCCTAAAAGATTGGAAAACCTATAGCTATGACATTTCGTTCAGTGTAGATTGATTCTTTATACAATGGATGTTATCTTAGCAATGAAACAGGTGGAAATATAACTGGATGAAAACCTCTGTCTAGATTAGAGATGACGTGAAATCACCATTATTCTCTTTTAAAATACAGGCATTTGAAAAGAGACTGTTGCTCCTGAACAGTAATAGCTTAAATTGGATTGAAAAACTATGTCTAGACATTGACTGCTTATACACTGAGCATGTTAAATGCACTTTTCTTTAAAAGAAAGTCTAGAAGGACATTCATTTGAGCAATTGCTCAATGTATAATCCTGAGGAAATCTTATAGATAGGATGTGGCAATACTCCTGATCTGTTTCAATATAAAATATAAGTCAGTAGCAAATGGGCAAAAGATAATCAATTAAAAATTAAAGGTAAAGCAAAGGCTTTACAAGGAAAAAATTCTATCAAAAAAATAGAACTTTCAGAGCAACATGGTGGTTGTTTATGTGCTTTTACCCATTGTTCTTTAATTTTCACCGAAACAACACACAGCAATGATCGTAATCTTAGGAAGAATGCCAATCCTAGCTAGAAAAAACAGTAATTTAATTTTATCGCTATAGCTATTTTAATGCAGTGTCATATAGAATGCTTACAATGGTTTTCCAGAATTAATTCAGCAACCATGGAAGGCAAGCTAAGAATATAGAGTGAACACATTGCTCTGCTCTAAAACTTTATTTAGCTGCTTAAATTATGAATGTATTTTTAACCTCTAGAAATGAGAACGGGATTGAAAGCATGAAGGCAATTAAAAAGTCCAGGATTACTCCCATCAGTTCAGTGCTACAACAGGTCTGAATTAGAAGGCAGATAATGCCACAAGAAGTGCATCAAGCAAAGCACGGGGCTAGAATAATGCTTACAATTCAGTTAGAAATCAAAGATGTTTCTTTAGGTCCTCAAAATACGAATGGACTTGAATCATTTATTAAAATATTGTAGATCATTTAATGAGACTTATTTAAGTAACTACAGGACATATAATTTACACATATTATACAATATGAAACCTTTGAAAGTGGCCATACAACTCCTGCATTTACATTAACCCAATGTTTTGAACCATGTTCACGTTTCAGTCTTTCCAGTGCTCTGAAAGAGTTTGTGTCTGTGCTCAGCACTTTTGCTACAGTATTTAAGCAGCCCTTAATTCTATGATGTTTCACAATTAAGAGTCAGTGTTCAAATATTGCAAATTAACCTGTGTCCTTATAATGAAATGGCTGATATTCAGTAAAGTCAGATCAGACCTATTTATGTTCTTTAAGCTATTTTTAATAAACCCAGTTAATCAGCTGGGCACCTAAACTTACTGTGCATCACATTAATTTTAATGACATGCAGACATGAGGTTCGATGAGGGAAATGAGTTTACCGTAATAATACTTATCCTATCACTGTGGGTAGAAATGAGGCTTTCCTTGACATTAGTTTAAAGCAAAATATTTCTCTTCTTATGCTGTGTAACCCAAGAGAAATTAGCCCCTCTTAAGAAGTATTCTCTCAGCAGGTTTTTAGAACAAGAGGAAAAGAATGTATCATTTAGTGAGTACAAACCCTGCTGTTTCTCTATGCAAAACAATGTTTTCAAGGTGGCAAAATAATTCCGTGCAAATGGGGAATTTTCCCAAGCCCTTTATGCATCTGTTCAAGCACTTGCAAATAATGTGATTTTAAAGTCCATCTGAATAGGACTTGATTGTTGAAGAGTGACAGAAACTGCACATTGTGACAGAAACGACAGCAACTTAAAAATGACTGGCTTCCTGCTTAAGCAAAATGGCAGCAACAGTACTAGTTTGCTTACTGAATGCTATATTTAAGCTTGTGGAACTTGCACGTGTAAGGAAACAGAATAGATTCTTCCATTGGTGGCATGAGTGAATAAGTAGACTGAAAAAAACAGGTTTTTTTTTTTTTTAATAGTAGAAATTGCAGATCTCTTTTCATTAAAAAATCAGGATTTTGTTCTAGATCCAGAAATGAGCATAGCAGATGGACCACTATCAAGGGGAAAAAAAACAAAATAGCAGTTTCATCAAATCATTTATACTTTCAATAATACCTACCTAAGGTTCTGCCGAAATTCTTGGAAAATATGTGTCTAGAATTCCAGACAATTATCAATATCTTAAAATCACTGAAGTGTTTGAAATTTCCCTTAATGAACCATAGAATCAGTTGTGTGAGAGCATCGTTTTCTCGCCTAACAGAGATGCTGAGAATTCTTAGTGAAGACTGACTTCAGCTCCTTTTGTCTTTTTGTCACATGAGTCAACCTCCATAAATCTGGAAACGGAGGGATTTCAGAGTTTTCATTACATACAGAGTGTCTTAAAACAGATGATGAGAGGATAAAGATGTGCTGGAGGATTGTGGTGAGATAGCTGCCCAGCTGTCTTAGTGGGGCAGAAGTTGACTTCTGATCCCCAACACTACTTTGGTGAAAACAAATGTCAAGAAGTACTTTTAAGACACTGACTTTTCAAACAAGTTTCTTCCGCCACTTTTCTTAGTTGGTATTAACTAAAGGGAGTTGCAAATTTGGTACTAAGATTATTTATGGGCTTATTTTTAGCTTTTATCCATTGTATTCTTTATAAACCTGTTCTGCATCTAGACAATAGAATTTTATTTAGGCAAGTATTAATTATACTGCTTTTAGGATGGGAGTGGTAAAGAGTTCTATCAGGTGCAAAAATGGGACAGAATTCAATCCTATGAAATATTATGGGCAAAAGAAATATAATCTAGTTTTTTATTGAAGATGTAACACAAGTTTTTACATTTCTTAGGTTTGCCTTCAGTTCTGTTTAAAGATTTATTATCTCTCTTCAGAATTTACATGGTGCTTCTCACAGTACTGAACTATATCTGGTATTGAACATTTCCAAGCTCATGAGTCTCTTCTAACTGTATTGCTGCCATGGTAATGCATCTGGTAAGCAGAGAATTGGTGGTGAATGCAAAAGGGACCATGAAGGTGCCGAGGTCTGAGCGAACAGCTTCAGAACAGAAAGAGCAAAGGGCTCAGGATCGGTACAGTCCCTCACAAATTAGGCTGCCTTTTCAGGAAGGGGCAGGTGGGGTGAATTAATGGCTCCACAGACATCAACAGGAACATTTCTGGATGTGCCTCGCCCAAAAGTTCTCTCTGCTTTTATTTGCCTGATGGGCAAATCATTGCTCAATAATGGAAGTAACAAGTCTATGGAAGCAGTTCTGTTGATATTGTTCTTATGCAAAGTCCTTATTTCTGCCATTCCACTTTTAAAATTACATGTACTGAACAGAAGCTTCCAAGCAGTAACTTGAAAATTGGAGCACTGGAAATACATTATGCTTATAAGATAAACTTTATATCTTAGGTGGACTTACAAATAAATACTGACAAGCTAAATAACAAATAAATTAGACACTGATTAGGGTTAATATTACATTAATTCATTTTCTCTTAACTGTCTGCTTACTTTACAAATGACTCATTAGAAAGTTAAGTTTAGGCAGGCGTGCTTTTCTTGAGCTCTGACACAACTGCATGGGCTCTCAAAGCCATAGTTACTTGTAATGGAGTTCTTTTCTCTGGTCCATTGAACGTTCAAGCCAGACAAGGCTGTGAGGTCTTGTTCATCCTCAATGCTCAGCTTATGACTGTGTTTAGATCTTTGTGCCCTTCCAAAGTAATTAAAGTAAAATCGCAAGGTTTATATTATGAAACGGAAATGGCAAAGCGGAAAAAAAAAAAAAAAATTAGCCAGCTTCAGAGGTATAGATATATAGCATGAAAACGTGCGTTATTTTTTTCTACCACACTTCTAGTAGTTTTAGATTTAAAGCTGGTGGCACAACTTAAGATACACAGATCCTATGTTTGGATGTTCCAAATGTTTCTTCTTAATTCAGTGAATTTTTTTTCACCCTCTGAATACCTTCGTGAGAAAGTACGTGCTTACTTTCAGCATCTTATTCCACTGTCTCCAGAACATGGTTTTTGAGGACTTACATTCTGATGCTCTTATATATAGTAAGCAGACATTATGATAAAGATATGAGGAACTTTCTGGTTAGATATATATATATATATATATATTTCTGGAAGATATGAGCACTTTCTGGTTAGATTCGCCACTCTAGGAAGCTTTGCAACTGTTGAAATATTTTAACAACCAATTAAAGTAAGAAATAATCCCAGGATATGTTATCTTTTCAGAGCTGTGTTTCCCTAACCTAAAAGCCATATATTGCAATTTCTCTCTCTCTTTCATCTGTTGTTTTTTGAATTTTTCTTTTTTTGCTCTAAATTCTGCTTTGATGTTATAGATCTTCCATTAAAGCAAAACCACAACCCTTCCCAGCAAACCTTTTTCACAGACCTGTGCTGGACTGAACGATTCCAGAGTCCACAGTTTGTCCAAGCAGATCATATTGGTTCAGTCGAGAGCCATCTTCAGCCACCACCACTGACCTTGCTGGTTCTCGTGTCCATTCGTACACAACCTCTGCTCTGGTATAAGCATCTAATTTAAAACAAATACAGCACATTTCAGCCATTCACCTTCTGTTGCCATATGAATTAAACAGACCATTGTTTTGAGCAGTAGATTGAACGTTAACTTCTCTTTCACCGCCTACAGATTGCTTACTGCAACGTTTTGTCTATGGCAAGTATAACTGCCTATGCCTGTTGTGGTGATCAGATAAATAGATGCTGTCAGGCAAGTTTAAGGTTCATCCTCAGTGGTACGAAGGACTTTATCTTTCTTACATTGTTCCTAACTGTATAAAATCTAAATAATCATTAAGGAGAGTTAGGTATGGAATTTCAGGGGCACTGAAGAACTCAAGTTCTTGTTCTAATTTTTATCAACTATCGAGAAAGATAAGCCTCAGTATTTTCAGTTTGTGGTGGTGTGGTGTTGCTTGAGCCACTGTAATAAACTACGTCCACCTCAGAGTAGTTTCACAGACCTCTTTCTTAGCCTGACCAGAGCTCTCTACTTTGGCATCACCCTCTTACACTGCCTTTGCTCTATAACAGGCATAGCAGATATTTCTGAGGCTGGATTTTTGGAATCTCCAATCTCAATTCATCAAGCATGTTACATAGATATTTAGTAGCATCCTACATATGCCATCCAGATGTTATGTGCTATTTTTAGTTTATTATTTATATTGTTTCAGGAATTAAACTATATACTGTTTTTTACCTCAGTCTTGCAATACTGTTCTGTCATTTTTTGTAGTCTGCGGTCTGACAGCTCTCGCTTTGAGCAGTTGGGGTGGGAGTTAGCTGTCTACACAGAGGCACTGAGTGTCGTTCTTGACACCTAGGAGTATCCAAGACATGTATGGGACTGAATGTGTGATTAGAACCTACGTAAAGCTTGCTCCCACCAGAGGCAGCTGAAAGCCAGATGGGACATCTTAGGGCATCTAAAATGCCACTATAAATGTATATTTAAATGACTGACTGACTCCTACCTCCTAGATGAGATTTTCCCTGTACATTTCAGACCTGGTAAGCAGGAAAGAGAAAGGAGGAATCTGATTCACTTGACCTCATTTGTGAGTTAATAATTTTATCTTATCAGTGTAAGAGATAACAGTAATTGAAGAGGTGGTTTTAGATGGAGCATACTGGTAAATTAATTGCATGGCATTTGATCCTGCATTATTGAAGTGCAAGGTTGCTTTTGCCCTCAGACTTCATATTCCCCAAGCACTGTAACATATGCATAGTTCTTTTGGAAGCAACTGTAAATGCAAATGTACTTATTTATTATTCTGACCTTAAAAATAATGGCCACAGTAATTACAAGGGTTTATCTGCTATTTTAGCCAAATAAAGAAAAGGGGACTGAATCAGCTTAGAAACATTTTACTTGTTCTGGAGCACACATGAAGTCTGTGAGAGGCGGCTGATTTCTTGAACTGCTGAGGACCACTGAGTGAGAACTCAAAGGGAAGGCAGCACACTCACCAGGGCTGGAAATGGGCCCTATCCTGCCCAGTGGCTGCCATCCAGCCATGTTCGCTTCACCATTTTCACCACGGATGGTGTGTTCCCCCTCCTATCTTCAGGATCCAGTTGACATATTGCATAAGTAGCAGCATATTCTTTTGTTCCTTTCATTATTGCTTTGCAGAGATGCCTTCGTTTTATACTGACAATCAGATTTTTGTGGGAAGAATTGAGAACAATCAGATTTTTGTGGAAAGAGTTGAGGACAGCAGCTGCCTTTCTGATTTTGTTATGCTAACATATGGCTTTTTGTTGTTCCAGAAGCCTCTTTAGCATTTGTCACATTGAATTTACATTGGAATAACCTCTAGCTTAAGCTGCTATTTTGGCAAATCATTTTAGCCTTGGAGCTGGGTCAAGCATTTACTGGCCTCTACAGTACAGGCAGAGTCCATGGGAGATGTGGCACTCCTTCACTATTAGGCTTCTCTGAATCCAGTTCCAACAAGAGATGGGTAACAGTGGAGGACATGGAAAAACTCTTATCCAATTTAATTCAAAACAAATGCTGCTGGGCTGAGCAAACACTACCTTGGGGAGCTACTAAGTCTAGTATTGCAATTTGCACATAAAAAGTGGCTTTCATTACAATTAAAGGTCTTTTTCAGTAAATTCTTCAGTCCATTAAGATTAATTTCATGAATTACTTTAGTTGTCTGAAGGGAATCTCCCAAATGTATTGGAAGGTGGCTCTCACTGAAAAAGCAGCAATTAAGTTTAAGATAAAATATATTCTATTTGTAAGAGTAAATTTATTCTCTTTTCATATGTACAGCTATGAGACCTGTTTCCATAACTTGTCCAAGTCTAGCCACTTGTCCAGTGAGAGAGACTTCTATTTATGAATAACCAAATATTGAGACAGAAATACTTTATAATCTGGTAATTATGCTATATAATCTAATGAGATGGATGGGGGAGGTCCAGATTTAAGGTTCTGTTTTGGATAGTGGATTCTTCTGCAGTGTTTGCAGTACAAGCATGCTGCAGAACACACTACCCCGCATTATAAGCTCCTTTAAAATTATTAGGAGGATACAGTTTCCCTGAAAATGCTTTGATCTTGCCTCACAACACTTCCCAGCATTTGGAAGCACTTGCTTTGTTAGCTCCCGTTTGGGACAGCTGGCATGATAATAGCCAGTTTGTGTTCAAAAAGGAAAAAATACTGCAAATAGTTTGTGCAATAAAATAACCCACACTCTGAGACTGGAATACTAATTATCATCTATGAATTTAGGGTAATTAAGTGATATTTCAATTAGAAATAACACTCACTGATTGTCCTTTAGTTTTAGTTTAGAGTATCCTTTAGTTAATTTAAGGGAAATAATATATATTATGATAATAAAAATGTATTGTAGAATAAAATGGAAACAAATTTAGATACAAATGATATTCAGAACTACAAGCACATATTTTTGCTGTCCTGTTTTCACCTTGTGATTCCAGAACTGTATTTGCATCCGTATTATCTATCCTTTGCATAATTTCTTTATCTCTTCATCATTTAATCAAGGCAAGATCCCTACTAATCTGGAAAACCACGCACTCATTGAGCCAAGAGTACTCTAATCTGGGACACACTGAGCCAAAAATAGCTGAGTATAGGAAAAGAATGGAAACTATTGTTCGCACTTTAGTGTCTGATGTTAGAGGCTGTGGCTAAATGATACACAGATATGCTGACAGACATCAAGTATGTAAAAATTCAGTCTGCTAGTTCACATTTGTTCAAAAACTGTTGATGGTTTAGCTTTCTATCAGAAGGTTTTATGCATGCTTATCCATCTTTCTGTCTTCCAGATCCAGCATACATTCAATCTGCATTTCAAAAGAAATTCAGTCCCGTGACTGCTTCTAGTATAAGTGGGATCCCAGGTGATCCCAAATGCACAGATACGCTGTTATTGATCAAAGATCCATTGCATCTATCTATATATAATTCAGACTACGACTTCTTTTCCCCTTTCTGATTTACAGGAAACTTCAAAAGGTTTATTGGAATTGCTGTAAGAAAGGTTGACACTCAAGTACTAAGCTATTCCTGTCAGTTATACTTCAAGTTTGTATAAGCTTCTATTCTGTAAATTGTATCTAGGAGGCTAGTAGCTCTTTAAAGAGAAAACACCAGTGCTTTCTCATAGTAAGCATAGAGGTAGCCAGTCTAAAGTAAATCATCATCCTGTCTGGGACCATGTGAAGAATGAATTGGGTGTTTTGTTTGTTGGCTTCTAAAATAGATCAAGTCACTAAGTACCCATTATCAGTGAAACGACCCATTTCTACTAGAAAAAAATTGCCACTGAGAAAACAATTTGTACAATATTGTATTTTCCACACATTTTATCTTCCTAGTTTGTGTTGAACTGAGTGAAATAAAGCAGATCTTCACTTTTTTTTTCCCTTTCCTTTCAGAATTTAAGCAGGGGTTGGAAGTAGGTCACTTCAAAAATAATGCCTCCTTTTTATTTCCATGGAAACTACAACAGATACAAAGCTTAACCTGCTTTGGCAGGGGGGTTGGACTCGATGATCTCTGGAGGTCCCTTCCAACCCCTACAATTCTGTGATTCTGTGATGCTGTGACTACAATAACACTATTTGATAGAGCAAATTCTCAACTGTAAAGCAATATTTTTCAATGTAGTTGCTACCATTAGCTATCCATTTATGCCAGTGATGAACAAAAGCCTACTTGCTCTGCTCATAAAGACCTGCATCTGTGCAAGTGACCCACTGACACTGTTGCCACTGCTGACATGCTGCCTCACTGTGCTCACATCACTGTTTGGTCTCCAACAACATTCAGCAAGTGTCAGTGAACGTTGATGGGTGCCATTTATTCTTCATGGAGGAATTCACTGACACAACTTTGCTTCATACATGCTTCCATGTCAGATGCCATTTTGTCAGACTGCCCCTGTGCTGCCATCTGTCACATGGCAACAAAATGGAATGGAAGGTTTGTAGGAAGGTTCAACCTCTGCTGCCATCTCACCAACATCTATCTCTGACATTTCAGGCGAATGAAGTAAAAGAGGAGGCATTACTTTCAGAGCAGACCCCTTATTTAATTTCTGGTAATAACAAGTTTAGTAAACTTTTAACCATCAGCGTCATGTGGGCTGCTACTCAAATTCAGTTTTGGGGGAGAAATTCTCAAGTTATCTGAAGTGCTGTCAGCTATTACTCTGGTTTCAGTTATATTACGTTTTGTTTAGTGCATTCTCTAATGTAAGGTTAAATCTGTTGCAAATTGCAATCTCTCTTTGGCATTTTGTGACATTTTCCACTTTGAGAAATGTTGCATGATTGAAATATGAATGGTATTGTAATCTTAGATGAAATTTTGTTCTAAACATACAAAATCATGGTAGGAAAATTATTTTTACCTATGCCAGTTGAGTTATTCACCGTCTGTATTACTTATCTTTAAAACTGACTTTGTGACTTTAAAAAAACAATAAAAAAGTAACCCTAATATTAACGACATCTTGTGTGTGACAAGCTACTTCCCTAGAAGTTAAGGATGATACCATTTTTCTCCTTTGTGAATGTCCAGGCATGACGCTGGAACGTGTTTAAGGCACTTCTATGTCTTATTCACTATATTATGAATTATTCATTTTATTAAATACAAACATATGTAAGAATGAGACTACTGTTAAAAGTTAAAAAGTACCCAAAATTAAAACGTTGACGTTTATTCAGTTGTGCAGTATGCCTATAGAGTGGCCTCAGAATGGAGAAATCTCAATTTAAAAATAAACTTACAGCTTCCAAATTTCAAGGGGCAAGCATGCACATCCATAGGAAAGTCTTCTAAATGCATTGGACATTCTGCTCTCACAGTCAATCTATAACGGATCAATGAGCAAAAAGACATATTTATTCTACTTTCATAGAAATAGTAAATAGACTTCTATTAAGACGCATAAAATAGTCTATCATCTGTTATCTGATTAATAAGCAGCTTGAGCAGGACCTGAATGGCCTGTCTCAGAATGCAGATAGACCTTTGTAAACACAGCAGTGAATCTGACTGCTCTTTACCATGTCTCATTGTACAGCAGAGACAGGCTTATACTTTTAACTTGGTATAAGGAGTAAAATCTCAGAAACCAAAATTGTTTCCATGCTGCCATCACAAAATTGTCTAGTTTCGGGTGTTGAAACATTTGTTGAAATCATTTTGTTGCTACTAGCAACATGTTGCTTAGTATGAGAAATTAAATAAACTAAAAACATTTCCTCAAACTATCACATATCACACACAAGTCAGCAAGGAATGGACTGCAATACTTGAATGCCAGGCAAAAGATTGCATTAAGACACTTACAAATATGAGGAAATAGAAATTGTTATGGTCAAAAAAGAGATGTGAACAGTGTGCTACCAAGGTAGTGTTCTTGGGAATTAATTCCTGAACAAGCATTTTGCCAGAAAAGAAAAACTGACCTAGACTTGTATAAGTACCAATCAACCAGATTGTACCCTAGCCTTGACAGTCTTGAAGGATGTTTCAGAACAAAGTGAACATATTTGGTAAGCTCTCAAATGTCTGGAGACTGTATTTTCTCCAAATACTTGTACTCTTTTAAAAATATTTTTAGAATTGTTAGAAGAAAGCTCACTGTTCACCTACTTAGTGAACTACCCATCTTGACTTCCAGACAAAAGCGTCACATAAATATAGCTATGTAGAGACAACGTGTTATTTCTTTCATTGCTCAGTTCATGGTTCTTTTCAATTCAGAACATTTCCACCACTGTGCATCATCATTGTTTTGAAATAACGACCTCTGCTTACAACTGATTAGCTCAAGTTATTATTGTCATAAAAAGAATAATGTATTAACAATAAGAATGATTCCAGAACAAAAAAAAAAAAAAACCACAAGCAAAACCAAGCAAACAATAAACAAAACAAAGCAAAACAAACCCACAAACATTTCAAATGCTTTAGTGAAATGTTCTTTTTTTTACAAATGGAATAATAAATTTTTAGATTCTCAGATTCCCAAAAAGCACAAAAAATTACAGTGTGTTCAAGGTGACATCAGATGGGGCTTTGGACAACTTTGTTTTGAGGAAGATGTCCCGGAGCATGATGTGGAATTAAGTGATGTCTAAGGTACCTTTGAACCTAACTATTCCGTAATTCTAGTTTGCTGGTGGAATCCTTGAAAGCATCTCAAAATTAAGGTGCTCTGCAAACTGATTGTTTCTTGACTCTCTTGGCCTTCTACCTTCTCAAAATCAGGTATTAAGAAATGTGCAGCATGTGTAAAGGTAGCACAGCGGAAGGAAAACAAAACACTTGCAACTGCCTTTTTGTCCATCGTTCCTGGACATGTCATGGAAAAGATTATTAAACAAGAATCAAATAATCCCCAAAAAGGAACCTGCTTCCTGTTTGGAAAATAACTTTACCTACTTAAATTGTCAAACTAAATGAAAGATAAAATATTTCAGGGCTCACCTCATTGTGTACAGCAGTGTCCCATCCTCTGTAATTCGCAATAATTTATTTGGCATCGTCATATTATGAGCCACTGACTTCTTTCCATTGTGGAAAAAGGTATCAGGTGTCCAAATTTTGCTGGCCATTAAATTGTTTAACCGGAGAACAGTCATAGGTCCTTTGAATTTTAATCTCTCATCTTTCCAGCTTTGGCGGAAAAATACATCTATAGTGTATTCCTAAACCAATTCAGAAGAGAAAAGGTAATACTGCCATGTGTTGCAACACAGGAATTTGAAAATTATAATTTTACTGTTCCCTTAAAGCAAGACTATTAATGAAATTAGTAATTATCAGAACATTTATTCTCTAAATTACTTACAATGTATCTGAAGCTGGTTATTTAGCAGCTACAACATCATTACTGTACTGAACAGAGTAAATGTTAGGAAGAATGGCATATGAAAAGTTAGAAAGAATTGAAGATATAAGATATAGGAAATAACATAATCTGCCCCTTTCTCCTTTTACTTTTACCTTTCGTGGAACTGTAATTTGAACCTGCAGACACTGAACCATTGTGCATAGCACAGGAAGAATTTGTCTCTTTGAATAAAACAAGGCTGGTGAGACAGGATCTTATCAGAGCCTTTTGTTCTAGGTGCCTCTTTAGCTTGAACATGCAGTCAACTTATGAAAAGTTCACGGCTCACTAAAATTATGTGGTCTGGTTTATGGTACGTGAAATGGCTCAGAGTCTAAATTATTGCACTAGAGAGAGAACAAGATGAGGACAACTTTGGACCAAGAGTTATACTGTGGGGCAATGGGGAAGAGATGTATTGGCTGAGTTCAGTGTATACAGGGAGAATCAAAATAACCAAAATTCATTATGAAATTGAAGACTGACTTCATACAAATTTCCTTTTTTTAGGAATTAAGAGGCAGAGGGTGAAGTTAGAAAACATATGTTGGTGCTTTCTAAATAAAACACAGAATAGTTTCACACTGGATGGGAGAAAATATGGAAAAGTCTTGTGGATGCAGTATACTGTAATATTTACATGGGGAAATACCAATCCCAAAGTGAAGTGCTATATGGGATTACCCTGGCCCTTCCATCATTCTTGATTATGATTTTGTGATAAATGTCAAAAGCAGCCATCCAAACACTGTTCAAATTACCCTGAATGATAATCTTTTGGCCGAGAAATGGAACCTTTTCTGAGATCTCCTGCCAATGATTGATGGCAAATCCTGAAGGCAAATGTTTCTGGCACACAGTGCTACAAGTAAAAGAGCTTCCCCAAGGAATATATTAGTAAAGAGAAACATTGCGGAGTGAACATTTAAAATCTTTCTCTTGCAGTCTCCTTTAGACTTCTGGTTTTTATTGAAAAAAATGGCAGCATTGTACAACATAAGCAACTGTGAGCTGTGTATTACTTATGCAACTATCAGCAAGTATCTATGGTGATAGTCTTGTGGCATTTTTTTCCTGTTTTCAGGGCTCAAAACACCTAAATAAGTTTATTATGGACAATAAAAGGTAGTTCCAGGGGATGATCTTTGTTGTTGTTGTTGTTTTCATCTGAGACCTGTGAATCATGTTGTTGCATATTTAATTGCAAAGATAATAGCATTTTCACTTTCTTAATCACATGCTCAGTGTGCTGCTGGAGGCTGGATTTGTTCAGCTCCAGTGACAGCAGTTGTGCACTTTTAGCCACATCTTCCTTCAAAACCCTGCTGGATCAGAGCCTCAGGTTGAATCCTGTGCAAGATATTGTCCCACATGTGTAGAAGAGTAGAAAATAGAGGAGGTATAAAAGGCAGTAAAATACTGTATTTCCTTAGCTCCAAGGATTTCTTCTTACATGCATGGGAAGAGTAAAAGACGTGCCCAGATGGGGATCCCACTTCAGTGTGCCATTTAAGCCACTCATTTTCTCTTGCAACTGCAAAAGGTGGGAGGTGGTGCAGGTTTAGAGAAGTGAGTATGGGTATTCCCTTTATGTGAGCATAGTATTCTGATGTTGAAAGAACAAAGAGTCTGGAAGGTTTGGTAAAGGAATCTGACAGCAGAAAACAAGATTCAGTTAAAAAGGAGCTGACAGATCTTGCCTGGCATAAACTGCATCATTCTCTATCCCAGGCTGCTGCGCCATAAACCATTTTGGCTGAGCTGTCTTACCCCCTTAGCTTTCACTACCTGCTTCAACATGTACAATAATTCTCCTCAAATGAATCCCGACCGACAGCTGATCTTTAAGATCAAGTCATCAGATAACTCTTACTCTGATTATAGCTTTCTTCCACCATAGAGTGCCATCAGAAGAAACTGTGTTCTATAGCACTGTTTCATGTGCAAGTGGGTGAGCAAGATAAAATTCAGTATAAATTTTCCACAGAGGAGAGTCTTCTATCCTTAGCATGCAAGTAAAGAAAGAAGATTCCTATTTGCACTTTGCCAATGAATTGTGTAGTACTGAATATTTACAGTACTTTGTCCTAAATGAGAGATTCAGGCAGGAAATCTTTAGTACTTTACACATTCTCTAAGCCACTCATCTGTTCTCTCTCCCTGGAAATTGTTTATGTACATGGTAGACCACAACATGGTCTGTATTGTACTAGGTGATATATAGGAAGGTACAAAGGCAGAAATTCTTTCCCAAAAAGCATACAGTAGAGAAGCAGTGGGAATGAAGGCTTACTGGGAAAACTGTGTTGTTGGCTTATTTTTGTGTTTGTTTTTTTTTTTAATGAACAAAATTACTGTAAATGCTTCTTATTCCAGACAATATATATACATATATAAATTTTAAAAAAATGACATGTGAGAATAAGCAGTTATCTGCTTATTAGTTCAATCCACCATCTGAAAGATCGTGCCTCAAGATCTGTGAGGTACTTCCAAGATTAGATGTTTTTATTTCCAAAGGTGTTTTTCTCCTGTTTAACTTTATTCACAGGTTTAAGATGGAGAGAAGGCATTCTTTTTATAGAATAACAGGTTATGTCTATGCTGTTCTTAAAAGAGTGTCTTGAGAGTGGGTAGGAACACCATGTTCTGCCTGATATATCAACCTACTATCTATATAACTGCCTCACTGGATTCCTGCAAACAGATGGTCTAGGTATGCTGGTGTCTCACTGTGGCTGTAGTTTTATAACATATGGCGTCAGCTGGAATAGCTCATTCCCAGCCTCAAGCCATCAGTCTAGGCTCAGACAGCAGTGCACCGTCCCCTTGGCATGCCAGTACAGATGCCTGTGAGACCCTCCTGTGACCAGATCCCATAACCCAGTCAACGCTGTCATTCTGCTCACTGGAGCAAATTTGGGGTAGCTCTCAAAAGATAGTGTCGACAGTCAACTTGTAGCATGCACAGAAGGCTTTGCATTAAATGTGCATGGAATTAACATGAATTTATATTCGGATAAGCTCTTCATTTGATCTTTCCCTCTATGTTTTTCTCTCATTTTCACACATTTCCTTAAGCAGAAGAGTTAGCATAAGTAGGCTGTACACACATTACTTTCTATGCGAGGTGAGTAGGAGTATTACACTAAATCCCTTTCTGTGGTCTCTTGCTTTTCAAAATCTGTGAACACCTGCCTGTCTGCTTTTTGGCAGTGATTGCTTATGCTATAATCATGCAGCTATACTGAGGTCAATTTATTTTTTTCCAAGTATACTTATTTGTAATTTTGAAAGTAGATTATTTTTGACTTCAATATTTTATCCCAGAAACCCAAATCCTATGCAAATATTAGTTTTCCCAGGAACATCAAATTAGCTTTACCTTCTACTCAATAATGAAAACATCTGAAACTATCAACTGTAAGTACACAATGAAGTCCAGACACACTATTCCCAAATAATATAGAAGGATCACTGGTTGCTCTAAATTTATGTCTGTGAGTAGGAAAGCATCGGTGCCTGTTTATTAACTTGCTGCTCATTAATTGAATTTCCTAGTAAATCTGACTCAACAGATCATACAGTACGTTGGTCAGGTAACTCTAACAAGTGTTACCTTGTGTTTTCACCAGCATGTATCTAGTACTCTTTTTATTCTCACCTCCTCCAAGCATCTGTGTCCACTCTAATACTTCAAAGGAGTTTAATTTTCAGGAATTTTTAACTATCTACCTCCCAAAAAGACAGATCTCTAAAAAAATCCAGCAACTGCCTTCACAAGCTACAGCTGCTGCAATTTTAATTCAGCGCTAAAAATTAAGTGTGTATTAGACCCATGACTGTGTCTGAAGTTTTCATTTAGTTTCATGGTTGGTTATCTATTTCCAGACAGAACTGGAAAAGCAAAAATTGCTCATTCAATCACCAGAGCAGGAAGTTTAGGTGTCAGAAGCAATTCTTAATTAAAAAAAAACAAAAAACCTCACATTTTAATGTATAATTTAGACTAATATCTAGGAATTGTATTTCAAAACATTTTAAAAAAAAGTGCAGGAGTAATTTATTGAATTTTTCTGAATTCTTCTTCATGGTATAGTACTTAGACACAGCACTCCATACATGAACTGAGGAGACAAGTCATCAGTGTGACTGTTTCCCTGGATTGCCCTTTGATTTCAGGACTTCCTAGCAGAAGCTGGAAATAGTCCAAGCTTTTCTTTCTCATGTAAATGTGATGGTGTGAGTTGGAAATACCGTTTTGATTGTAGTTTTATAAATAGTGTCATCCAAGCAGTCAGGAAAATGGTGGCTTTGCATAAAGCTCTTTTATGAAAATAAAGTAGTTTAGAATAGTTACTTGCTCTGTAGTTCTGGTGTTTAAGGCCCATCTACATTTTCAGTTTTGATTAAACAAATGACAATTTTGAAGAGATAAACTGAACTTCCTATGATATTTTTCCCACGTGTTCTTATTTTTTCTTTCTTCTGTGAATGCTTCTAGTTAAATGCAGGCAGTAACAAGACTGAATTTTCTTTCTTTCCCCCCCCCATTTAAATTAATGAGGATGTTTTCAGCATTCATCTTTATACAGGATCCAACAGATACTAGTAATTGCAAGCCAGGCTTTCCCTGTCAATAGCAATGAAGATCTCATTTATATGCTTAATTTAAAGTACTTTATCCATATATTTACACATTTTTTTTTATCTCTTAAGACCAGGGATCGCAACATCTTCATTCAGTTTTCTGAACTTCTGAATCCCCTGCAGTTATCTGGCAATTTGATTTTCATATTCACGCCATAAAGAAGTGACACTAATTCTCTCATTAATCTTCTCTTCTCTTTCAGCAGCCAAGTTTGAAGAAACTCACTTCCCATTGATCAGTAGCTTTTAATATAAAAATACAGGTTAGAGTGTATGGATGTCACATTGTAAGCACAAGTGTTAATTGCATTTTAAGATTATGATCTTTCTCAGCAAATTGGATCAGTGATGTGCCAGCAAGGACCTGAGCAATCATTCTCAGAAGAGTACTGATCCAAACCTTAATGCATTTCATAATATATTAGGTAGCAAATATAAGGTCTGTTAAAATACATTATTAAAGTCATCGAGGATGCTAATTTCAGGGCACTTAAATGCAGTCACAGCTAACAGGAATCACTGCACATAAATGCTGACAGCATTTTGGAATCAAGTGCTCAAAAAAAAAAAAAACAGTAGTAAATAAGTTATTGCTTACATCCTCCATCCTTCAAATTAAAAAGACAAGAGAAAATGAATGCTCTAGAAATATAGGCCATCACTTACCATATCATGGTCTGAAACAGGCCCAAAGCTGGTGACGAAGATGTCAGTCTTCACTTCAGTTACACGCTCTGATGAAGCAGGAAATTAGGACAGTGAGTGTCTATCAACAGTCTTCATTAGATCTAACCATTACCAATTCTCACAATAAATAGAAAAATTATTGGCTTTGATTAGCAATTCTAAAATTGGTCTACAATACAGTCCTGATAATTTATTGCTTCTCAATGTAATTTCACAGTGAATATTGTCAGCAACATTTTTTTTTGTTGTCGTGTTTCCATGGGACTTTTTGAGACATGACTTGTACTGAAACAGCAGACGTAGTTCTGCTGTTGTAGAAATCCTGTCACTCTTTGACTATTAAAGGTTTTTGTCTGACAATGCACATAGTGCCAGGTATTTTACACTTTACTCTTAAAAGTCTTATTGGGTACCCAGTGTGCTGCTGGGCAAGCTGATTGAAGGTCTCTAATAATTAACCCCAGGCTTATGAATTATGCATTTAGTGCTGAGACACAGAAACACAGAAAAAAAGAGAGAGATAAAATACATTCTAGTGTATAAAAAAGATTTTTATTTATTTTTTGCATGAGATGGCTTCATTAGTCCTGATTATGAGAAACAAAAACAAGTTAAAACTTATCCAAGTGAACATGATCTCAACCTCTCTACTATATCTTTTTTATGTCTGTCTGATTTCCACACAGAACCAAACATTTGGCTTATGGGGATGCACTGTTTAAAGTTCCTTTAAGAAATTAACAAACTGCATCTCTCTCCTTCCTCTCCCTGCCCCCTGTACTCAGACTACCAGTCACTTCTGAGCATCCTGGTATTTTCTAGGATACACATCAGAAAATGCTCACCCAGGATGGCAAGTATCAAAATAACTCTCTTGAGTTAAATATAGTTGCAAGGAGTAACACCACCTGAAGGCATACATCCTAACAGTGTTGAGTGGGGGTAACCCCATCAGCTCTCAGAACTCAGAGTGATTTCAGAACATTTACTATTTACTATGAGCACTGTAGAAACCAGTGTGGGTTGGGTTTTTTTGTTTGTTTTTGTTGTGGCTTTTTGTTTGTTTGTTTTAGGAATTTCAAATGTGGAAGGAGATATGCATTTCTCAAACAACTTCCAAATAAAATAAATAATGTGTGAAATCTGCTACACTAAAACTAATTTTAAAGAGGCTAAAAGAAAAGTACATGTACAGAAAGTAAAGGTCATGCAGCGAAGCAAAAACTGACTACGAAGTCATAAGACTAAGAAACATATATAACATCTATATATTATTACTTAAATATTGTAAAATTAGATGAAAGTAATTAATAGAATCCTCTGATTTGAAAAACATTTCAGATGTGTTTTCTGGTTGGTGGTGGTTTTTTCATTGTTTTTGTTCTTTTTTTTTTTTTTTTTTGCATCTGGGAACAAACAAGATTAATTGAAGTTCTTACACAAAGAAAAGTGAAATATGTTTAAAAACAATATACACTTTCATGTATAACCCAAAAATTCTAGTGAGAGTCAGTGTTCTACAGTGTACATAGGGTTTTCAGTTGCATTCTGAAAGCTCTACAACTTGTCAATATATATGTTTAATAGTTTTAGTAAAAAACTTTATACAAAAAAATGCCTCTCGTTGTAAGATAGCAATAATCTGAATGTAAAATTGCTTCTCATTCTACCGTCATTTTGTAATGCACTGAATGACCCTTGTATTAAATCAGGAAGTAGGAAATCTGTAGCGCTCGTTGGAAAAACCAAAGGATGAAATTTCTAGTTTATTATTTGTAATTACAGAAGTAAAGTACTGTGATGTAGCTGAGTTGCTTAATGGTGGTTCTTTTGGTTCTTTGAATCTGACAAAACCATTGGATATGTGCAATTTCCTACTTGGCTCTCCAGTGAAATGAAGGCATGACCTTATCACTGTTTACAAGCTTTTCAACTGACTCAGAGAAATTTAAGGATTCTTTTGACATCTAATTGACTCTTGTCTTAAAGAAATCCACAGTGAGAATTTAATCTTCTATTACGGGAAGAAGCATATGGTTATCCAGAAAGTACTTGGCTTGGAAGAAGAGTGCTCTCTCCTTCAACTCATCACTTTTACAAAGTTCAAGAGGTGAAAGCTATGGTCTGGTATGAAACAGCCAGCAGAAAAAGAAGACATAGTTTTCACACTAATGAGTAAGACAATCATGAGTACACTTTTTAAGTTACAGATGTTTTATCATCTTGAGACTGAGAATCTACTATCATCATAAGATCTATTAGCATTCTGTATATTGAAAAGCGAATCTCAAACAACCCTTTAAAAGATCCTTCATTCTGACTTGCCATTTCTCCATCTCCTTTCTACTGAGGCATTCCCACAAGTGTCATTAGGAAACAGAAGATGCTGGAAGCTCTTCAGAATCAGCCCCAAGGGATTCATTCTTAATAATATAAACTCAGAGATTTAGGAGACATATGGTCATGGTGTAGAGGTTAAAGTTCAAGGAAATGATTTTGGGGAAACAAAATGGAAACTAAAGGCTTCCAAATTAAGATGGAAAGTTTCTGAGAAAATAAATAGAAAATTAGTGGTGCTTTTCATTTCCATACTGCAGCAAAGATAATTTAAGTGACACAAAACTCATAATTAGTAATAGAAAAATTTGATTCTGAAATCACAACAGACTGTTACCATCATACCAGTTAGACTTTCACAGACCATCTAATCCCTGTCCTCCTCAAATCCAAAAAAAAACCACTGTGCACATCATCAGATGATTAGTTTTTCCTTTGATATGTACCACATTTTCAAGAGGAGTGAGAAAAATGTGGAAATGTGTATGAAGACATAAATTAGCCCTTCCAAATCTATGTGGAAGTTCTGAAATTTTTGTTTACTGTTTTACTAAATAGATGATTCAGCTGTGCTGTGTTTAGAGCTTCAAACGTTGTGAGTCACTCCTGCACAGAAGATGCGTTTACTGTATGCATACAGTTAGGATGTATATTTAGAATCAAGGTTAACCATGTTCTGTTTAGAGCTTGAATATCATGGGAAGGCTTAACTGTGCTTCAAATGCTCAGAACGCACTGAGATTTGTTTCAAGAACTTCAAATCCTGATCTATATTCAAAATCTTTACAATGTCCCTAAGAACTAGAGAAAATTCTAAGCTATTGAACAAAAAAAGTTCAGGCCAGGAGCTGATCTTACTGCTGAGGATAAATCCATCAATTGTGAATACACTGGCCATGTCTCTTGACTATAACATCTTTTTCCTGAACCAGGAATTGATAAGATATCTGTAGATTGTGTAATTCCATTAAAAAATAATAATAAAATAAAAAGTAAATTATTAGTGACCAACTAGCTTTACATTATGTTTAATGATGTACACTGTAAGGTCCAACTGGTTATGGATCAGCAAAATGACTACTGCGTTTAACATGTAGGCACCAGAACACAACATCAAGCAATAAACTAGTTTATATCAGGGGGAAATTATTTTGATCCAGATATGCCTACGAAAGCATCAGTCAGTATAAACTACTGTCATTGCTTACAACCACTGTGTTTTGGTAACGATGCTAGGATAAACGCTTTAAATTAATACCTAAAAACAATAAGTGTTTTGATTTAAATTCCCAGGGAGGTTATTATTTCTAGAATTGTGACTGGATTACAAATTGAGAACAGAATAAGGAATATAGATTGATTTTAACAGCATGAAATAAGCCCATTTATCATAGAAAACTATACATTAACTATTTCCCTTTCTCACCTGCTGGTATATGAACACAAGGCTTATCAGAATTACTCATTTTCGTATTTTAAATTAATTTCCTTATTTTTGATTCTGCACCTGCTCCCCCTGCATGTCTTGTTTAAGTGTGTGCTATAATTATTAAAATGGAGAAGAGTCTTCCTGTGGTTTTGAATGAAAGGGAATTAGATGCCTGTATGGTGTAAACTGCTCCTACTGAAGAAAAAACTGCACATGGACTTCAAAAGTAGATACCAAAATGGAGAACAATGGCCTGTCCTGACATTGCTCAGCCATAGTCCACGCTGCTATGAAGGCAGCTACGCCATCACATGCTAACTCTCCCCACAGCAGTTAACAGCTCAAAGCTGCCTCCACAGAGTCACAGAATGGCCAGGTTTGGAAGGGACCTCAAGTATCATGAATTTCCAACCCCCCTGCCACATGCAGGGCCACCAACCTCTACAATTAATACTAGACCAGGCTGCCCAGCGCCCCATCCAACTGGCCTTGAACACCTCTAGGGATGGGGCATCCACAACCTCTCTGGGCAGCCTGTGCCAGCACCTCACCACTCTCATAGTGAAGAATGTCCCTACTGTTGTATCAAAGCTATTTTCCTAAGGTCTTGTCTTTTTACAACTGTCCTTACATCAGTTACCTACAGAGCTGGAAACAAAATAAAATAAACCCTTTAAGTTCTTAGAGGGTGAAGTATAGTATCTGATGCTTCTTCATTATCGGATTATGAGTAAGCTTCAGTATAGGTCTCTCTTTTCATTTAAAATGGAAATAAATAAAGTTTAACTAAATTTTCATTGCATATACAGACTAGAACCATATTTTCACGAAATTGTAAGTTAGTTTAGATGTGAGCTTAAATTAAACAATTTCCACGGGGACCACGATCACCAGAAGGTCAGTTTATCGTATATTTATAGACAGTGTTCTAGAAAAGCTGAATTTTAAAGCCTATTTAGCATAATACTGTCAAGTTTATTCTCTGTCATTTTAAATATAAGCACTTTGTGGAAGTAATGAATTGCCTGAAATGGACCAACATTCCACTTAGGGACAGTCACACTCAGTGTTGATATCCATCACAAAAGACAGATAACAAATATCCCTTACTGATAACATTATAAAAATATAATTCTGTTCAATACTAAAGTAGTATTTGTGATCTATTTGGGATGCTCTAATGGCCACTCAACCCAACAATAAAAGCAAATTCAATTTAGGGAGATGTTATCTGACCTGCTTGATCAAACCTCTTCTTAGTTCTATATTAATCCATCTTCGCACTACAAAATCCCTCTCAAAGGGATAAGCAGCATTTGCAGTTGTTCTAAATTAAGAGGTCACAGACCACCTGATATCATTTAGTTTTATAGAGGAGATGTGTACACCACTAAGATGATAGTTTAAAAAAAATTCTGTAGCTACACCTGATATCATGTTATTGAATCTCAAGCACCGGGTGCAAACAACTTGCCCTGTGAAAGCTCTCTCTACCCTGTGGCCCTCCATGCCTGCCATGGTAGTAAGCTAGGACTCGTATGTATTCTCCACATGAATACATCCCAGAACAAAAGTCAATGTGATATTCATTTATTCACAAAACTTAGTTTTGTATCATTTCTTACTGCTTTTCCATTCTTTTAAACTCTCACCATAGATACAGAATTTTACTACGGGAGGTCACCAAACATTGACTTCAGTTTTCCTCCTTATAGAACACCTTCAGATTACTGTCTGATTCTTTCTTTTGTTCAGCACTGTGCATTGGAAAAGGGAGCAACATCTTTTTCACTCCTAGTACTAGGATGCATTCAGTTCACACAGAAAATTAAGCTTTTACCTAAGTGACTTCACTTTTTATTTTTTCTCTTAATGTCTGCCATGATTCCCTCCTTTTCAAATTCAACACATTACTCTGTACAATCCCTCCATCTTCCTTTTTGTAGATGAGTATCCTCTTGTAGAGTTAATAGGGGTCCTCTAGTGTGATTCAGAACATTTTTAGATTCATTTTTAAAGTTCTATTTTCCAAGCAGAAATAACGGTAAATATAGTTATCTGTCCATGTTTATGGATGGATGCTAAGGATGCTGTTTCCTAGTGATGTCTGACTAAATGACTGTGCCCACATATGGAGGCAGTGAACATCTAAATAACACAATTTATATCAGTGATTATTGATAACAGGTGGAAATTTGTCAGTGCATAACGAAATGCTGTGTTTTTCCTTTAAAGAAAAATGAGATTAATTTTAGCCACAATGCCGTTCTTTAAAATAATACACATATTCAGTTATTCAGCCGGTTTTCCCAGTGGGTCCCGTAATCCATGTTTTTATATTCTTTCTAAGGATAAGTAATTTGTTCTTTGTTTAATGGCAGAATGCTCAGAGCTATTCACTTTATTTCAGGTATGGTCTTACTAAGTAATCTGACAACTAATAGTATTTAATGCCTTATTCTCTGAAAAGCATATGCATTTCTTCATTTTCATTTTGAGGTGATACCGCAAAAGTAAATGTTAAAAAAGGGAGGCTTTAAAATTAATCAGGCACTGACTCCACACATGCTGAAAGAGCGGTTCAAAATTAGTCAGAAATTCATTCTCTTTTTTGTTTCTGTTCATGTACGTAATTCAGTTTCCCATATATTTGGAATATGTATACGTGTAGTACATAAGGAGAGGTCTTAGAGGGATAAGCAGAGAGCTTTCTGCAATTTGGCCCTTTCTATAGGAGAAAGTAACCATACCATGCATTGTTTTACTTCATTTACTCTTTCTTAGAAGACACAGAAAAAAAGAAAGTGCAAACATTTTGAATTTCCAGTAGTGAATCAAACTGTAATGGAAGGCTGTTGAACATCTGCCTCCAAAAACCAAGCTGTACTGATACATAAATTTGCACTTCTTGCTGGATATTTCTATGTCTGGAACATGTCAGAATATATTCCCCCAAATTATCTAAATGAAATACATCAAAATTACATCATCTCGAGTTTCCTAGGAACAATGTTTTGAAAAGCTGAACTTCCAGCTGAATTCCAGCATAAACCCTTTATTATAAATTGGCATTATAATTAAAACTACTGGCCTATATGTATGTCTCTAGTTTGTGGAATAAAATCATGTCTTTTGAATCAAGCATTTTAAACATGAATCTACTGCACAGAATTTCATCTGATGTGGGATTCTCAAAAGGTCTTGATACACTTAGTTCTAGTGTTCTACACTGAGGAATAGAAGAGCAAATTTAAATTTATTCTGAGGCACTGACATCACAAATGTACACTGTATTGAATAAAAGGCAAATTGTAGTCTTACAGGTCTTTGGCCTGGGTCTACGCAGACCTTGTGACCAATCTCTGGATTGCAATCCAGAGGAGAGAAATTCCTTTCTGTGGGTCTCCTTTTGTTTACTCTTCCAGTAACTGTAAAATAAATCCTAACAGCTACAAAGCTCTCAAGAAATCATCATGTTCTCAGATTGTTCTTGTAGACGTGTACCAGACTTTACACAGTTTGCAGAGTTTCGTTTATTTACTGCCTTCTGTGCTGTGTTTATTTACTGTGATACAGTAGCTTACTGAATTCTACAGTTGCATTAATCAAAGATTAAAGAGCATTTGTTTCTCTACTAATCCAAAGGTTTACAAGCAAATAAGCAAAAGTACCGGTAGATAAGTGATTCTTATTTTGTTTTATATTATCTGGAACTGCACACAAAAATTTACAAACCAACCCATTTTTGAATGTTTTTTTCTAATAGACACTTTATAAACAGAATTTTATCTCTGTATCTATGTCATTCTTTTAAGTCAGTGAAGTCAAACCATGGAAGAAGCAGGCTCACAATGCAAGAGCTATTGCAAGATGCTAGCCTTGAGTCACAGAATAATAAGACCATGTTTTCGGATCATATCTTTGACGAACAAATCAGAGAGTCAACGCAGGGATGCTGATAAGGAGTAGGCTTTGTAAGAATATTTTTATAAAGATGTAATTGCTGTATGGTTTTATAACTTTTTATGGATTCAGCCCTGAGAGCAGAAGAAAGACATTTTAACCAACTTGCAAAGACAAAACGTTACAGAAACAAATCCTGACATACCCCATGGAGAAAAAATGTTATAAACTTCTCTGAGACATTTATATGACTAAGGTTAATTGATGTTTTCTGTTTTAAAACCAGATCCTCTTACTCTTAGTCAGTGGGATTTTTGCATGTTTGCATGTGCTGTTTAGGTCTGATTCATAAATTTTTGCCATTTGTCAGGTCACATCTTTTATTCTTCCTACATTCAAAATTTTAATAGATATTCAGAGGTCTAGAATTGTCAACCATTTTCTTTCTTCAAGCAAAAATGTGTGAAAACTGAGCATGTGGAAGACAGCACAGCATTTTTGAAAAAAACAGATATTACATATCAACGTTTATATATATATTTATAAATTGAAGGAAAACAAGTTTATATTGGAAAAAAAACATTGTTTTAATTGTTTTTTTCTCTAACACTTTGAAAATTTTAACACACCTCCCAGTCCTGGTCTCAGGCGGTTGTCATAACCGTCCAGCAGGCGATCCAATATCCTGGTAAATACTGTGGTGTTGTCTTTAAGTTCATCTTGCGATGAGGTTTGTCCATAGCTGAAATACACAACAGTTAAAACTGAAACACAGCTATCAGGAACCTTACAAAGCAATAACTCCAAAATGTGTCTAATCCTGATTATTCTGATTTATGGCCATAAAATCTCCTCCAGAAAATTGCAATATAGGGTTGTTTCATTTAAACGTTTTATTTTTAAATTGTACATTTTTAGTGAAATCTGAGAAAACTAGTGCCTTTCCATGAAGGGTGAGGTGAGCAAATATAACTTCAATTCCTCAATGCTTATCTCATTATTCAGTAATCTTTATAATATTAATATTCCAACATGTTTTCAGTAAAAGGCTCATTTGTGTTACAACAGATAATGAAGGAATTGCATGCTAAGAAAGACAAAGTGATTTGCATAAAAAAAAGTGAGAGCACTGATATTTAAGAACTGAAAATAAATGCTAAAAAAACAAAATCAAGATCCCACCAAGAGTAAATAAGTAAATCATATGAGGGTATACTATCACAAATCTGTAAATAATCGTGCTTTACTTCCTGTTTTCTTGTAGCGGCTGCATTCAGAGGAATGTCTCCCATTTTTCCTTACAGATGGAACCACTTCTTGGGAAGCAGATCTGTCCTATCTCTAAAGCTTTGCTTACAGATTCTGAATGTATTACTCTAACTCAGCCAAAGGTCCTGAAATTTTGCTTGAATAAGGGCAGAATTAAGCTCTTTGATCTCAGCTACCAAAATCTTACTTCCATCATTACAAATCAGAACGAAGTCCTTGGGCTTAGTGGTTTCTGTCTGCTGTAAAAGGCATCAGAATTGACTTTTTTCTTAAATCTGAAACCTTTCCAATCATAGATAATTCCCTTAATCATAGATTACAGTTGTCTTAAAGCCAAGCCCAGTACCATTTTTTCATTCATTGCTGGGAGGACTTCCACTGTAAACATGTGTAGTCATCATGACTGAAATACAAAACACTGCTTCGCAGAACATCACTTTCTCATGCTTGATACTGAACTGGATCAACAGTGCAGTACCAGAAACGTCTGTAAAGCTCAGCTACAGCCACAGCCATGACTCTTTGAGCAGTTTGCTGTCTGTACAACCCTGGTGGTACATGGCTCTCAGTGCTCTGACAGTCGCTTCTGCTCTAACCAGCAAAGGCCGTCTTGCAAGGAATATTACCAATATGCAAAAAAAGCTGATCCCCTTAAAGTAGCTGCAAAATTATTATCTAGCAATGCATCCTTTTTAAGTCAAACATTCTTGTATATCTGACATAGATATTCCACTTGTATCAAACAGAAAGGAGGAGGAGAGGTTGTCTGAGTATGGATGCTCTGCAAATGCTTCCCAGCTATTTCGCAGTTCAGATTTGAATAAGTATCACTGCATATTTGAACAAGTTTTAGATCTGACATTCACAGCATTGTTTTACTTCACTCGTATGTGACTTGTAGAGAACAGTTTTCAAGGTACTTCAATGCATGTAAATCACTGTTCCTAATGAAGAAGAAAAAATCTCAAGCAGCCTTTTAAAAATGCTAGCAATACTATGCATTTCTTCTAGTCACATCACACAATTTCATTTAATACAGATTAGGTTGATTTGTATTTATTTTTCATACCCACAGTTGCATTGTAAGATGCTAATATGCTTTTCTTTTCTTTTTCCTATATGTCACTTAATAACAAGTTCTCCTGCTGTCTCCTTTGAGCAGTATCTTGTAAAGCATTTTTTCTTGTATGTCTTATGTAGAACTGCAATACAGGAATGTTCACTGGATTACATTCTCTATTAACACTCATTGTCATTAAACAAGCTGCTGCACATACATCTCTCAAGGATAGCAGAAGGTCATCAGAATTAAGGTGGCAAAAGGATATCAAAAGACTTCAGAAATTCTAGGGGTAAATAACTGAGTATGTTTGCAGAAGCACTGTCAGAAAGATGGACTATAGAGGCAGCACAGTCTGAGCAGATGCAATACAACACAGCGCTTCCACCCTGGCTGTTGCATCTGTCAGTACCCTCACCTGTTCTTTCCACCATTTTTTCAGAGGTAAAGAGCACCATTAGGGCTGGTTTTAATGGACACATCGTCACAACAGGAACAATCTGAACATTTGTGTACGTATCAAGCACATTGCAGCTCCACAGGGGCTGTGATATTTCAGTCAAAACTCCCATGTTAAAGCAGCCCCAGTGCTGTTCTGGATTTTGTGTTTTGTTTTTCATGAAAAATGATATGGAAGGACTGTGTGCTTCTGCATCACAAACATTTTGTCTGACAATTGTTTTTTTTTCTTAAAGAATTAACAGCACTCCAGAAGAAAAGGCAAGGGAAGTTACTATGACAAAATGGCTCTAAAAACAGATGCAATTTATGTAGAATATGTACATGTGTGGGAAAAGTGACTGTATGTGACTGTGGTTTCATATTAAGCCACAGTATAATAAAACACTGTGCACTAACTCCATCTACAGGTCATTATAATACTGACACACCATATAATTTTTAAACACTAGTCCAATGCATTTTAATTCTCGCATTAGGAATGCACTTGCGTACATTATAGACAGAACACACATGAACATCCACATGTAGATGTACACATACTGATATAACAACTCAACACATTTTCACAAGATTACCTAGGCAAGCCAGGTGTAGGACTTCATGAACACTTGAAAACCTCATGTTTCTTAATATGTGATCAAAACAAAGGCGTTTCTTCTAAAACATCACACTTATTCTATACGTTAAAGGAATCAACTGCTTTTATTTCTGATTATTTTTTTTAAGAGAAAACAGCTGTGCAGATGAACCTTTGTCCTTTTGCACACTTCAGTCTATTGAAATTCGTCAAGGTACCAGAAGGTAAGCTCATCTAGAGCTGCTTATATGTGAGAAGACACTGTGGACATCCAGGCGCAAATGAATCTTATAGGAATCACTTTCAACACAGCAAAACTGAAGCTGCTGCTGGGTCATGAGGCAGCACTACTGACAATACACAGATATTTCCAAAATACAGAAATGTATCTTCCAGTCTTCGTAACTTCTTTTACTCATTCTTGAATGTCATAGCCTTCAGTATACTCTAAACTACCTTACAGTTTTTAGTTAACATATTTGCTGTTGGATAATATACCACTACTAATTGTTCTGAATGCTGTTTTTAGATCAAAACTTTTACATGCATTCCATAAAAATTCAGTGCAACATTGTCTTTCAAATAGTTCAGCTGTCAGGTTTGAGCTTGCCTATTCCTTACCCAAGCAGTCCCACTTCACCAAGGAGGTCTGCTTTGGAGTCACAGGTACAGGTACTGACTTAGAACACAATCCTGACCCAACAAAAAATGACTTCTATTCCCTTTTCCCCTGGGGATAAAATGGGAGAAGGAGCTACGGGGCTGGGAGCATTCCAGCAGCGCCCACAGGAGAAAAAGTTATGAGCAAGCACTCAAAAATAAAAATCAAAACAAAGCACATTAATTACAGGTGTTTTTTTTTTCCCTTCTCTAAGAAAGTTTTACTCTCGAGCAGTCATTCTGTAAGAATATAAAAGACTGGATAGGTGTTTAAAACTCACTTTGCCTTTAGCTTGTTTTAGATAGGCTTTGCTTTGTTTTATTCACAATACTGCTAAAAAATATATATTGTTATGCAAACAAATTGCAGTTTTCTTTCAATCTTCTCTTAGTTAGATTTATCTGGGATTTGAATAGGGATTAACTTTCCTCAATACAATGAGCAGTAGTGCAGCCCATGCAATATTACACTGCCGCATTAAATTCAAGGTTCCCAAAACATGTCGATGCATTCAAAAACATCTCCTCACCTTCTTTCAGTCAGTGCATTCAGCAGCAGGCTCCAGGCCCAGAGGCAGTCGCAAAGAACGAGGAGTCTCTTCATGGTGGGCTCTGAAACTGAAAGGAAAATAATCGTCAGTGCCCTCTACATTAAAGCAGGTACAATGGGAAGAAGCCATCCCATGCAGGCGACTTTTGCAGAATCATTTGGTGTCAGACAGTGACCTCACAATACCAGTGCTCGTGTCATTCAGCCCAAGGGGGGCCTTGGCCATTTTGTTTTCCTTCCCCTTTTGCACATAGAAGCTTGGAGAGGAACATATGTTGCACTCGGGGTTTGTTCTTGTTTGCATTATTCTTGAACTTCAACAAAAGTAATTATGAGCTCGAGCTGCTGTCCCCAAACTCTGAGACAGTCCTTACTCCATTCTTTCCTGACAAGGCACCTCCTAACATTTCCAGGTAAGCAAGTGTAATTCTCTTGTTCGACTTGAGCCAGCCTGAGCCCTCCCAAGGCTCCTGTAAGGTGTCAGTGTATATCTGTGCACCACAGGAAAGCGGTGCTTCCCCCACAGACTCTGCTTTGCTTTGGTGTGGCAGCAGCAACTTTCTTCTCTGGCTGAGACTCCTCTCCTCTTCCCTGAAATATTTGTTTCACAGGAGTATCATCATCAGACTCTGACTCTGTGATCTCCTGCTACATATGCACAGTAATATTTTTGTCAGGCTAAAGGACACAACTCACAATGAAACCATGTTTTGACATCCTACACACCATCTCCTAAGTCCCTAGCAGGCTCTGATTGCTGCTGGAAAGTGGTTTTGCATCAGAGCCTTTTCCTCACTTCAAAACGTTTCCTGTCCTCTCTCCAGAGTGAGTTATTCTCACTTTACCTTTGAGTAAAAAGTAACACAACCAGATTGTTTCTTTTGCTTTCCAATGAGCCATAAAACACAAAGTTGGCTGACATTTGTGGAATCGGTGTTCTAGATTCAACTGATTGCCCAGGAGATGCTGCAGGTTCCCCTTGAATACCTAGTGCACTGGAATCCAGTTGATTTTTACCATCCATTACATTAAATAAACAAAATCTGGAGCCCATCTTTTCCCCAGTAATGGAGTTTTTAAACTGCCTGAGAAAACAAAGCACTGTGCCTAGAAATGCTCTTGTATCTTTAAATACAGCTATCCCAATTCACTGCACACCCTCAGGGACAATTTAAATCAATAAAATATCATTACAAAGCTGCATGTAAGCAGCGAGATATAATTAATGCGTTTATAGACAAATGATCGGCAGATAAGCATTTAGTGGGGCCGAGCTAATCTGACTGGGTGGAAAGGAGCCCGATGGAAGGCAGGGAGGAAGATTTTCAGGGACGAGATTGTATCTGAACTTGCTCTGGGATCAGCCCCCTCATAGATGGAGAGGCAACATCTTTGGCTTCCAAAATCTCCTCTCCCAGTCCCGCCAACTTCTGCCTCTGCAAAAGGCTTCTCCGGCTGAAGAAGGGAAAGTGAATTATTTGGAACTATCTTGATCTGTTGAGCTCCACGCTCGCTCCCCCCAAGCCCTTCACACCATTCCCTCCTACAACAAATCCAGAAAGGCGCTATAAATCCTAGAGGAGGAAAGTTTCTGACAGCTGGAAAAGCCAAACGGTGTAGACTTTGAGGGAACGCAGGACAGCAGCATCCCCTGCCCCCCGGCCTCCCCAGGCTCACACCGCTGGGCACCAGCTCTGCTTTCCCCGTTCAAAATGGGAGAAGGAGCCACGCGGCTGCGAGCATTTCAGCAGCACCCACTGGAAAAAAAAAAAAAAAGAAAAAAGAAAAAAAAAGGGGGGGGGGGGGAGAAAAAAAAGCATTTTGATGCATTTTGACCCCCCAGTGACAGAATTGCACGGCTCCGAGGTGCAAATCTGGACTTGTTTTCCTCCTGGCATTTCAACTTTGTATTTCCCCCTCGCCCTGAGCAAGCCACCCCTCCCACCGCCTCCCTGGGAGCAAAATAAATAAATAACAAACCCCCCCAAACCCATCCACCTTTTCCAAGTAGAAACCCGACCACGCTAAAAAGGTAAATAAGCGAAAGAAATGTAAAAACGCCCCTCGATCGCTGCGGATTTTCGAGCTGGAGGGGGTAGGAAAAACCCACCCCGACCCGGCGGTACCTGCGGGGAGAGCAGAGCAGAGCAGAGCTGAGCAGCCGCCTGCGCGCCGGGACGCGGTGCCCGCAGCCGGCAGCACCCGGAGCGGTGCGGGTGTGCGCGGTGTGCTTGTGCGGTGCGGCGGTGTGTGTGTGTGTGTGTGCGCGGTGCGTGCCAGCAGCCGCCCTTACCGGAGCCCCTCGGGCGCGGGTCCGCGGCGCCGCTGCCCGGCTGTGCCGCCGCTGCGCTCCCGCCCGCGGCGCGGAGGCTGCGCGGCTCCGGCCCCGCCGCTCACTCCGCCTCGGCCATCGCCCGCCGCCGCCGCTCCAATCCTCCGGGCTGGGAGCCCGAATTTCTATTCCGATATTCCGACCGTCGCTATACAACAAAAGCTTTCTCTTTACCAAGACAGTAGTAATACGTCCCAGGGTAAACCGGATGTGAAATAGGCTGTGACTTCATGCCAGAGAGATTTTATTTTAGAAAGGAAGGTGGTACCAAGCTCTCATCTAGAGACCAATCCGCCCATTTTTTATATGCAGCACAATTTAACTTCCAGCGCTCTCGCCCTAATCCCTTTCTCTCTGGCTGCAGCCTCAAATCCTTCTACAATCTGCAGCGTTATTATTTTTTGGGGGGGCGGCACGGCCGGGGGGGGGGGGGGGGGGGCGGGGAATCTTTGGACACTCCGTCTACAAACCGCTCTATTTTGAGAGTTAAAATTAAAAATACAACCGACTTGCGTTAGCATTCAACCTTTGATCAAATATTTAATCGCGGCACACATATGAATGAAGGGTAGCGGGAACGGAGAGGATGCAGCACTCGGCGTGTGCGCCTGTAGAGCCAGGGTACCCCCAGGGACGGGGCGGGAGCGGGGTACGCAGCCAGGCGGGGTCGCGTGCGTTTGGGACCAGAGCCGTGGGAAATGGGCTCCGTGAGCGGCGCTCCCCGCGTTCCCACGCCTTTTACCGGCGGATACCCACGGAGCGGCCCCGGGGCTCGCTCTGCCGGCGGCTGCGCCCGGACCCCCAGCCCCGCTCGTCCCGGTCCGCGGTCGCGGCGGGAGGGACGCCCCCGACCCTCCCCCTCCTCCCGGCCACGCGTGTCACCGGGAGCGCCGCGCGGAGTTGTCGGCACTTCGCCCCGCAGCTGTTGGCCGTTCCTCGGGTGGGAACGAACGGGGAGAGCTCGGCGGGTGCCGGCACTTGTGCGGGGGAGCGAGGGGAAAGTTGGGTGCAGCAGGTACAGAGAGCCGCCGCTCACCTGCCGGCCGCAGGTTGCTGTAGCTCAGCGCACCTTTCCGCCGCTCCCAGCCCTCTGCAGAAGTGGCAGACGCTGCTAACTGCCGTGAACGTGGTCAGCTGCCTTAGCTCTTTTCAAAGACCATACGAACTCCTCTGTGCCTGTTCCTTACGAAGCACTACCAGCGTTCCTGGGAAGGAAAGAATCCTTGTATCACATGCACCTACTGGATCTTAAATACTGTTCACTTTCCTTCTTTCCTTCTTAATGCCATCACCAATCCATTTTCTGTTCCTTCCTATGGTGTTGCTCCAAGAGAGGTCAAAATGCATATAGTTTGTCAGAGATGAGTTGGCATCCTCTGTTACAGCTCATGCATTTATTGCAAGCTTTACCCAGTTTTTAAAAATCAAATATTTCTCATTCTTCCTATCCTCACAAAAAACATGGTACTTTTGGCTTTGTAACAGCATGAGAAGGATTTGATTTAACCCAACAAAGCAATGACATTCATCGCTAAGGCTGGCAATAACTTCCAAGGTGGCGGTCATTTTGGATAAGTGCCTGACTTATAACACTGCAATTATTTCCCTAAGCACAAGGAAAGCAGAATTGTTGTTTATCAAAGTCCCTCAGGGCACCAGGTACACATAGTCCTTATGATCAGCATTAAATGGCCAAGTTATTTTAAAGAGACCTGTGGACTTCTTGCTTTGTTTCTTGGCGTCTCCAATGTAGTTCATCATAGTTTGATTCAAGGTTGTTAACAGTGCGCAGGGAAGTGGGGAACAAGAAAACCTGGTGACTTCTCAAGGGGATTTTAAGTCATGACTTTTCAAATCATGAGCATTCAGACGCTTTCTTAGTGGCTAGAACTATTTCCAAACATGCAACATGTTTGCTAACATAATTTTCTATGTTTTTATTCATGTCATGAAGTGTCAGGGTTTTGTTTAAGCGACAAGTGTGCTGAGGTCCTCAGAGTTTGCAAAAACAGTGTGAGGTATTTTTATTAAAGTATATGGAAGTTGTGTACTGAAAAGCCTTTGATATCCCTTGCCCTGTCGCTAAGGCATTAATTATTAATTAACAATGACCTTGTGAGTGTAGACACACACATTTAAACTATCTTCTTGATGAAAACTGTAAGCTTGCATCAATAAATAAATAAATGCTCAGCATAACTGCACTATTTCATTTCCCCTTCATTTCTTATGGACGTATGAATTCTATGTACATTCACTGTGTGTGTGTGTCTGTAAATTGGTGGCTAGAGAGACAGACGAACAGATGGAGTGAAAAGTGAATAGTTCGTGTACCTCTGTGCCATGTACAAGTTGAAGTAGTTTCAGAGCCAATGGCACATGACCTTGCATCCCATGTTTCCCCTCTTGATTTATTTTAATTGGTATCTAAACAATGGCAACGGTTTTTATTTTAGCAGAGTGCCAAGGGTTATAGCAACGTGTCAAAGGTCGCACAGCATGTTCTGCCTCCATGGACATGAGTGCCGCATGCCAAAGGATAATACGTATTTCGGAGTTCTCCCTTGGTGAAAATATTGACCTAAAATTGGAAGTGGCTCATTCTCTCTCTAATTCTCATCTGCTCGGAAAGTAGGACAAAACTATTTTTCCTCCATGGCTGAGCTTCCTGTCCATCAGTGCTCACACATAACCCAGATTTTCTCTTCTCTTTTCAAGGGCTGTTATCACAGTTACCATGTCATTCCATAGTAAATGCTAAAACTACTTGGATTTAATCAAACAAATAGGCTGTTTTAAGATGAATTGTGGTAACAAAATAACTGGGTTTTAAGAAAAAAAAATATGTAAAAGAAAATGTCTAGTCTTTTAAAGACAAATGTAATTTGTTTTTACCAACAGGAATATTATTTCTAAGAACAAGTGGTTTTTGGAAGACACATCTGTTGCAATTCTTATTCTCTTTCCTTCCCAAACACCACTAAGAGTAATACATTTATCAATGGGTTTCAGGCACCGTACTTAAAAAAATATCTTTGAAAATTTTCAGCTATGTACAGATATATAGGAATGTTTCTATTAGCTGTGAGTGATGTGATTTTGTTCTTCACTGAATTGGTCAAATGAGAAAGGAAAGATTCATTTGGATTCAGTGTTTCCATGTAACTCAATATAAGCTGATGTGCATCTCACTGCAGGATTTTCTAGTTCCATTTGGAAAAAGAAGAGGTCAAGATCTCTTTCTTTTCCGGACAGATTTAAGACTCTGGAAAGTTCTCAAAAAGACTCTACGATGTCTTTCATGTTACAAGATAGTGTGAAGCTAAATCCATTGAAAACGATGTTATTAAATCTAAACAGTCAGCCAAAACTAACTTGGCACTGCTACTACATGTGATGCTTTGAGCCCTAATGTTAACGCAAGTGATTACTAGCTCTGTTGTTAAAGCAGTTGAATCCTATTTTGGTAGAATACATGAATTAAGTCAAATTAAAATTGGCATAGATAAAGATTTCATAGTAGCGAAAAAGTTTTAAGTCTTTAACTCCTAACATACTGCTATCTTTTCCTTTTGAATTTCCAGTAAACACTACTTGAAATTGGCCCTACTACTGAAGTGCCTACATCCTCCTTCTTCGCTTGTGCAGGGCATTTGCTCATGCAAGGCAGAATTTTGTTTGTCATTAGTTCATTGTTAATACTGTCCTGCTTTGTGTGTGCAAAATATACGTAGGTTCTGTTTTAGCTTACGAGCCTGGATAAAACAGCTGAAGTTCCACAGCAGAATGCTTTGACACAAAGTGTCCTGAATAGCCCAGGGATTTGAATAAAGCAAATGAAACTCAGAGATTTACTGGCATACAGCAGATCAGATGAAGAATTAAAACTGAAAGCCCATCTGCTCCAGAGCTTTGAACTCTGTTATTTACAAGTCTTGCTTGTGTGATTAAATAGAAATATTTTGTCTAATATATGATTTGAATTTGATTTCTAGTTCGTTGTGTTTCAGAAATATATCAAAGAATATCTATTGCTCCTTCAGTAGTCATAAAAAAATTGTTGCTGAACTTTTTTTTAATTATTAATTTACAGCCACAGTAAAGAAAACAGGACACGTCATTGCCAGCTAGTGTTTGTACAAAACACACTTGATGATTTCAATTAAACATCACCCTTATTATGCCCCTTTTAGCTCACAGTAGGATTCTATCTATCGTCTCTTTCCTTTTCAAAAAATGAGTAGAAAGAGAAGAACTTCCAGGGAAATAAAGATGAGAATCTTCAAAACCAAGCTGCACTACTTTCAAAGAGTCCATCTGAGATACAACGCCCATTAAAGAAATATGAGTGGTGTTTCTAGATCTGTGTTGAAAATTGGAAGTGGTACTTCTTTGAATCCATTATCTATTAAAAATGGAATAAAGATGTAAGATAGTTGACGCCCAGAAACTGAGAGATGATGTTTGTCTCTTGAATTTAAAGTCCCCAGATGTGGTATTTCACACAGGAAGCCCAGTTACTATTTTCTCAGACATTCTAATCCACTGAGACAGACACTAAACATCACCATGAAATTCAACCCGTAAAGTCAGGAATGAAAGATCCTTTCCTAGACAGTAGGATTTCTTGTCTGACATCAGAAAGGAAGAATGGGATAATCATCTGTTTTCTAAAGCAAACAAACAAGCAACAACATCCACTGGGGAATTAATGAGAGCCATCAAAAAGAATAAAGGTCAAAATCAGAGCTTGCAGGGATTACAAAAGCTTGGTAAATCCAGTGGTGCTCATGGATGAGATCTTTTTCAGGGAGCTTTCCCTGCAACAGCTGGATTTATCTGTACTGGAATATGAACACCATATGTGTTCATTCCCTGTGCTGTAACTCAGTGCTTCTGGTGAGGTGAACTATTTGCTGTACGTCTACAACCCCTCAAAGCTTTCATCGCACTTTTAGTATAAATGTAGCAAACCTACGTCAAGACATCTCTCCCACAGAGGAAGGAGT